TGGCTTGACTGTTTGAAACCAGACACATGATGCCATTCTCGGTAGAGACAGTAAAGGTTCCAGGGCCAATCCACATCTGAATTACTAGTCATGCTTAAAACATACTTAAGATAACTATAAATAGGTGAAAGGGAACATAGTCAACAATATTATGATAAGTTTGCAGGTTGACAGGTGATTATTAGACTTAGTGGGATGATCACATCGTTAGGTATATAAATGTCAAGTCATTCTGTTGTACACCTGAAACTAACATAACATTGCACATCAATGCTACTTAAATAAAAAAGATAACTATAAATATACATTCCAGTGTTTTCTTCTACTCGCTAATGGGTCATCTTGTGTGCCCTGTCCCCGCCCTCCCACTCTGGACACATGGAGATAAGAACCCACTTCCGCAGCATCGCTTCTCACAGTGGCAGATACCTGAGCACCAGCTCTGATGGCGGTCCCACCTTACATTTATTTCATACTCTTTTAAATCCAAATGGGCACTTTCCCACCTGCTGCAAAGCTGAGTGATAAAACATCTGTGTTCTAGCCTTTCCTCTTTCTCTTGACAAATGATGTGGGTTTGACGCAGATTTCCTCTTTGCTTTACCTGCATGAGGGAGCTGGTGACAGTCTCTCCCCTCCTGTCCCACCAGCTCAGTGAGAGGACAGGCGCTTCCCCAGGGTGTCTAGAATTTGGCTGTGATTGCCCACAGATTCCTTTTCACTCTCCTGTTGCATTAGTTAGAAATTTTTTTGTTGCACGGGAAGGAGACCCAAACAAATGTGGCGTAAGTGGAAAAGGGAATTTGTCAGCTCCCCATCACTAAACACCTTGAAGACCTGGCTAGATCGAGGCGCTCAAAACGATGTCACCGAGATTCAGCATCTCTCTGACTTCATTTTTCAGCTTGGTTTTCCTCTGTTTGTTTGCAGTGTCTCTGTGTGTGGTGGTTCACAGAAGCTCTAGGCTCCTTTTATGCTTATAGTCAACAATTCCAGAGTGAAACTTCTTGTTCTCATCAATTCCAATTGAAGTCCTGGGATGAGCTTTAACTTGATTACCTTGGGTGTCCGTTGCTGAACTATTGGCTATGGTCAGGTCAATGTAACGCTTGGATTGGCCAGGTCCTGCTCCCGTGACTGTACCTAGCGCTGGGGTTGAAGCACTGTCCATCCCCAGTGATTGAGGGACCAGGGGAAGGGGCTGTTACGTGGTGAGGCGGGGGCTGTGGAAGCACAAGCTGCACGTCTTCCACACGTTTAATGAGGACTTTCCTTGACAGAGGCTCAACCACAGTGTTGGAACAACGTAGGCTTTTGCAGGGATTACAGCTTTCTCCTGGCAATGCAATTGGGATGCGGACTACCCAGAGTTTGGTCAGATTTCACCATTTAAGAACACAGTCCCCTGCAAGCATGCCCTCACTTAAGATAGCTGTAAGCTCAGGAGGCCCCGGCCACCTGCTCTTCTGACCAGCTCGCTCCAGGTTAGGGGTCAGCAGTAGCCCCCAGCTCCAATAACCCGACAGAACAACTCACGGAACTCACAACAGTGCGACACCCATGATCACAACTTTATTATAAAGGGTACAGATAAAGACCTTCCGAACGAAGAGATGTGGGATGAGGTCTGGAAGGGCTCCAACCGTGAAGCCTCCATGTCCCCGAGGTCATTCCCCATCTGGCACATCAGCGGATGGTTGGCAACCGTGGAAGCTCACTGGAGCTCCTGGCATCCAGAGTTTTTATTAGGGTTTCATTAGGGCACGAGCGATCGAATCATTAACCCTTTGATGGACTCATCTCCCTCCTTTCCCTGACCCTCAGGAGGGACAGACTGACAGATATCCCAGGACTCAAAGCCCCCACCCTCTAATCTCGTGACTGGTCTTTTGACTAAGGCCATCCCCCTGCCCCAACTATAGTCACCTCATTAACATAAACGCAGGTGTGGCCTGAGGGCCCCACCTGGAATAACAAGGGTACTTCTATCCTCTGGGAAATTCCGAGGATTTAGAGGCTCTTTCCCAGGCACCGGGGATGAACACCAGACAAGTTCCCTCCTACACAGCGGCCTCCTAGGCTGGAGCCCAGCTTCTTTTCAGGCTTGGACGGTCACCACCGCCCACCGTTCTTCACTGCCACCACTTGCAGACCCAGCACCAACTTCTGGCTGAGACTTTTGGCACCTCCCTCCACAGCGTCCGCAGAGGTCTCACCTGGGTCTCCCCGTGCACCCCCCTGCTCCCCACTTCCAGCCCCATTCTCCCTTCCTCCCAAAGCTGCGGCCTTGGAACAGTCCAGCTCTCCCCATCTCCTCAATGGTAAAATACAGGGTTTTTAGTGTTGGCCAAAAAGTTTGTTTAGTTTTTTCCGTACAATGCTCTAGTAGTGCTTAGTTGTTTTTAACTTCATTTGGAACAACTTTGTTAGATTGTATTGTGACAGCTGTCATATCAAAATGCATTTTTAAAAACTTGTCAAAATTGGTGAATTTTTGTGTAGCCATTTTAATACTGAAGGTTGAAGAAAATACACAACATTTTTGGCATATCATGCTTTATTATTTCAAGAAAGGTAAAAATGCAACTGAAATGCAAAAAAAAAAAAAAAAGATTTGTGTAGCGTTTGGAGAAGGTACTATGACTGATTGAATGTGTCAGAAGTGGTTTGCGAAGTTTCGAGGTACTATTGACATTTCGGCCAAAAAGCTCTTTCCTGTGGGACTGTGTTATGCATTGGAAGATGTTTAGCAGCACTCTTGGCCTCTGCCCACTAGAAGCCAACAACAGGAGATAGCCGATGTACTCAGAGTATCCAAATCAATAAAGTTATTGGTGAAAATGAAAAGTGTGTCTTTTATTTTACAGAAAAAACTAAACAGACTTTTTGGCCAACCCAATAGATAAGTTTTGACTCAGCGAAGAAGGTACTTATCCCAGGAAGCTTTCTCTAGCAGACACTTTTGCTTGTTGTGGCTAGCATCTGAATTCCTTTCCTTTTGTGGGGTGGGGGGTGGGGGGAGGGAATCTTGCACTTTATGAGATAAATCTTCAAAAGAGTCAAAACTTGCTTTCTCAGCCTTTCATGCAGCTTGGATGTGATCACGTGACCTAGGCTTTGGCACTCAGACCTTTCAGTTCTTCAAGGTGGCAGCCTAAAGACTCAGGGCAGGTGGCTCTCTCCATGGAGCGCCCCACTCCCCTACCCCAGGCGTGCCTTCCTTGCTTCTCTCTCCCCTACGCTCCCGGGGCCCTTCTTTTGCCTTGGTAAGTCCTATCCTGACCCATTTCTTCTACGGCTCCCTTCTACCTCTGTGACTTTCTAAATAAACTTTCTCTTAAAGTTTGGGGAGGAGGGAAGACTCAGTGTGAAACTAGCCAGAATCAGATTTTATTGTCTGAAGACACTGCCCGATACATCTTTGCTGACTTGCCAGATTGGCAAAGCAGCTTCCTGTGCGCTCCAGCTGCGCCCCTTTGTCTGTCACCACCTCCGTCGTCACAGCTCACGTGTATTGGGTCTTCTTGGGAGTTGCCTGTTCATCGATGCCTTAGTGTTATACCCATTTTACAGATGATGTATGTGGACGCAGAGACACCATCCAAAGGCATGCAGCTAGCGAGAGCAGTTAGGGATTTTCTCAATCTGATACCAGAACCCTCTCTCGTACCCATCATGCTATAAGGCCACTGTTTAACCCTCCTGCCCCATCCTGGAGGATAGAGTCGAGTTGTCTATTTTTATACCTCTAGCATCTCTCAATAGGCCCGGTACATGGTAGGTGCTCAGTAACTACTCACGCTCAAGTAGACGCCAAGGTCTCACCTGGCTCAGACACTCCATGAACATCCATGAGCTGCCCACCTGCCAAACCTCCAGAACTTGTTTTCCAATCTATAGGAATCGTTCTTCACCTTCACACCCCTGTTCCCATGAACGCACCTTCTTCAAATCCATGGAAAGTTGAAAGTGTGCCCTACTAGTCAGTTCTTCCTTTTCACCCCTGTGCCTGGTTCCTAGGACTTTGGGCGTGAGGGTGCCCCACAAAGCGCCTTTGGGTCATGTCCTCTCACCTCCAATTCTTTAGGGAGAAGAATTGCACATCTTTGGGAAGGTGATGGCAGAGTAAAATTTTGCCTTTTGGAAAGCTTAAATGGTTTTAAAGATGTATCATTACTGAATCTCTGGCTCTGCCCCCCACAACTAAAAATGGCCGGTTTGAATCCCAAGACAAAACCCTCTAAGTATTCCTCCCTGTGGTTCTTCTCTGAGCCTGGGAGCTGGGGGGTGATGTATTGTCTCCTCCTAGTCCCTCATCTGTTTTAGTTGTAAAATATCTTTTGTTTGAATAAATATCCCTTGCCTAAGCAGCGTAGACCTTGTTGCTGTCTTCCTTTTTGGTAGAAGGTTCTATTTTGCTGGCAAGCACAAGGGGCACATGATACTAATATGAGCCACTAGGTGGTGCTACAGCTCTGAGAAATAGTCTTGGAAACTGGTGAGCAAGAGGGTGGAGTAAGTCTTCTGATTTCAGCACCTCCCTTGCCCCAGACAGACAGACAGACATGTCTGGACTTGGCTCTGCCACAAGAATATCACCCAGCACTGGGCCCATTGCATGACAAACCCTCAATAAGTGGTAACTGTTGTTACTTTTAGTATCTGAATACCACATCCAAATTCCACACCTCCAGCTCTTTTTCCAGCCAGACATCATCCAGCTCAATTTTATTATCCAGAGTTTGAGGAAGAGAAATACAGTGCAGGGATCTGGAGAGGGAGTGAGTAGAGTCAGGCTGGACCAACAAGGAACAGGGACTGGAAGGTTGAGACTGGGGTGTGGGGGTGAGGGGAGTTGCTACTTGGAAGTACCTCCCTTTAGAACATTGGCAGAGAACCCTACTATGTCATCATGAGCATCCATGAGAGTAGGCAGGAAGCAGAAACACAACGTAGACTGGCTGTCCTCCACTGGGACAGCTGGTCGACTCAGATCCAGACTATGTCTGGATGCTCTGGGGCCGGATGGGGTTGTTGATCCGGTTCTGCAGCCAGTTGATATAATCCTCTGGTGGCATATGGATAATGTGCTCTCGCACAAACTGCAGAGCAAATACAGTGGCAGCCTTAGATTTGGTCTGAAAGCTAGACTCCTGGCCTCCCCCCTACCCCCCCGCCCCCCGAAGATCCTGGAATATTTGTGATTGAGGCTGGTGGCCTCAGGATGCTGCCAGACATTCCGGCATCAGTAATACCGCGACCACCATGCCAGGGGTGGTCCTTTCAAGAAAAAGACCCCTTTCTAGCATCCTGGTTCAGCAGGCTTGTTTTAAGCCTCTTCTATCAATCCAAAGAAATTTGGGGAGATCAGGAAAACCCAGATGTTTGCAAATTTCTTCTTTTCTATTCCGTAATATCTTTTAAAAAAAGTCTTGTGTGCCCTGGCTGGTGTCGCTCAGTGGATTGAGTGCTGGTCTGTGGACCAAAGAGTCATTAGTTTGATTCCCAGTCTAGGGCACATGCCTGGGCTGTGGGCCAGGTCCCTTGGTGGGGGCACATGAGAGGCAACCACACATTGATGTTGCTCTCCCTCTCTCCCTCCCTTCCCCTCTCTAAAAATAAATAAATAAAATCTTTAAAAAAAGTCGTTTGTCCATAAACGGGGTCAAACCACTACTTGGTTCATAGACCACTTTGAGAATTGATGATAACTATGGGCTTGCTTCCAGGAAAGGGTTAAGACGCAGACTATAGTTTCAGATAGTCCTAGAGTAGGACACCCCACATCCAGGTCATCAGAAGTTCTGTGATGTCCTTAGCTGGAGAGGAACACGCTAAGTTTTACTAGCTGGGACTTCAACCTCCCCTCAGAGAACTGGGGGGCCTCCATATCCCCCCTCCTCTTACCCATTCAGAGATTGCCCCATAACGGGCAGGTTAAATGTGGACCCCTTAACTGGCTCCCTAGGCGAAGGTTGGACAGTCGCTGTAGAGTTCGTTTTGGACTAGCTGGCTAGAGTCTTTCCTGACAGAGCCTCCGGCTCGTTTTCTCTCAAACCCAGGGACTGCCAGTGAGTTCCTCCAATGATTCCAGTTCCATTCTGCTCTGGTGCCTTTGCACATGCCTTTCCCTCTCCTTGACCTGCCCTTTCCCCTTCTCTTCATGGTGCTGTCTTTTCATCGTTCAGGTCTCAGCTTAAAAGTCACCTTCCCCAGTCGCCCCAGTTAAGGTAGGTCCCCTCTACCTTTATCTTGAACAACTACTCCTCACACTTAATTGTGCATACAGATTACTGGGGATCACATTTACAGCAGAGTCTCAGTTGGTGGGGATGGTATGGGGCCTGAGAACCTGCATTTCTAACAAGCACCCAGGGAAATGCTGTGGGTCTGCAGGCGACATTTTAAGTAGCCAGGTTTAGAGGGCTGCTTGTGATGACTGCCACTTCTTTTATCCACTCAACCATTTATTTCTCTCTCTCCAAAGCCTTCAAGTTTCCAGGGCACAATTTACAAACATGTATAATGTCCCCAGGAGTTGAACAATCAAGGTCACGTGACAATTCCTTGTCTATTAGATAATAAACTCCACGAAGGTAGAGATCTTTGTCTTTTTACATGTGCTCCCAGCCCTCATACGGTGCCTGGGTGTTGAGAGATGATTGCATGAGAGCGCCAATTCGTTGTGGGGGAAAGCAAAGGGCAGTTACCTCAATGGCCACAGCGATGTCTGGGGAGCACAGTTCCCAGATTCTCAGGTCCTGTAGCACCTTCAGGAGGACAGGGGGTCTGATCCTCAGGTCCAGGTTTTCCCCAAACTTCTGCAGTTTTGCCAAGATCTTTTTGGCGGGGCGGAAATTCTTCAGGTCTTCAGGGAGTTTGGACAGAAGATCAAAGTACCTTCAATTTCAGGAAGAGAGGGCTGGTTAGGAAGCCACCAGGAAGTGGGTCCGGGCATCTCAGGTCCTGCACCTCCACTTCCTTTCCACCTCTCGTGTGTTGTCTGCAGGGCAGCACTGGCTTTGTCTGGGGGACTCTCCTCCATCCAACATGTAAGGGTCAGGCAAGTCTTTAAGTTTCTAAGGGTGGTAAGAGCTGGAGCACGACTTGCATTTCATTTAACAAGCAAATTAGGGATGTGCTTTAAAGAGATGGGTTTATGATTTTTCTATCAAGCAGATACCAGGAAAAGCTTACAGGAAAGGAAGGGACACAGAGACCTTGAAGCTTCACGTTTGAGAGTGAATCAGGCCAGGGAGGACATGGACATACCTGTGGGATACTTTCCAGGATGCAGGAGGCTCTCCCACAGGAGATGATAGAAGTGGGGGGAGGGGAATAAAGAGGGGGAGGAAGTGCGTGTGTATTTGCCACGTCTCTGTAGTGAGTAAGCTTGGGCCACAGCTCTGTGTGTTTCAGCGGGTTTTGAGAACGTTTCTGAATGCTGGGACAGAGTGTGAGGGTAATCTGGTCATTCATGGTGGGAACAAGGTAGGTTCTAACCTGGAGGCGGTTCAGCTGTGATCTGAGTTTAAGGGCTTCTCTTTAATAAAGGAGGTGGGCAGCATCTCTTAAAATAAAAGGTCCCCTCCCTGATATATATGGTGGAAAAATTTGAAGAAATTGACCATCCACTGTACATTTTGGGCTCCTCATACTGTTTTATATTTTATACTTTTATGATATACATTTATATATATTTATTCATGTCTCTTTGTAAGCTCCCGTTCCACATTATTAAAATCACGGAAGGAATTCTGGGTATGTTTTTAGACTTTCTCATCTTACTCTGAGAACTTGATTTACTTGCCCTGCCAGGATTAGGTTCGTAAAATCACAGTTCATCCGCCTCCAATTCTATGTTGCAGATGAGTGTAGAGACTGGGGTCAGGCAGGGGTTTAAATCCTCACGTTCCCTTGTTTGCAAAGTGGGGATTAATACGTACCCTTCGGGATTTTTGTAGGAAATAAAATAATTTATGAACATTGCTTAGGGTGGTGTCTGCCATTGCATAATTACTCAAGTCATGTTGCTATTTGTCATACTTATTATCACTCCTGGACAACACTAGCGTTCCTAGGGTACGCCTATTTGCTTTTGTAGCCTTCAGGGGTTAGGTTATTTGGGGAACACAGTGATGGCCCCTCAGGCCTGTGCTCTGTAGAAGTTTTCAGGTTGGTTTACTTCATCTGCTGCTCCTATAGCGACTGGCAAGTTAGTCCTTATTTGCAAAAGTCTGAATCAAACAGAAGACAAATACAGAGAACAGAGCCTGTTGGATTGCCTGTGCTTCAGGAACTAAATGATTTTTGCCTGACTATGCTCTGGAGACAGCCTGTTGCGGGGGGCCTCTTGCTGGCCAAGGACAGTTTTTGAGAGATCCCTGTCTATGTCTTGAAGGCAAATGGGATCAAATTGTGCTTTTGTAACAACAGCCCTCCCTTCTCCCCTCCAAGCATCATCTTATCCGGCGTTTGGGATCTTTACCAGTGATCTGCAACTTCTTGTGCATCTCCTTTTACTGTGGAGACTTTATGTCTCATTTTTGCTATATCCTTTTGAAAATTCGAGGCGAGGATAAAAGCATGGAACTTCTGGAGGCCTCTCTCTTCTTGGCGCCTGCAGCACAGGTTGTATGAGAAAGAGGAAGGAGAATCAGATCCCTGTCTCCTTTAACCATCCTAGCTGCCCTTTGAGATCTGACTTAAACACTTTTCCATTATGAGGTTCTTCTGAACCCTGCTAGCCACTGTTTAATTTACCATCTGGCTTGGCTACAAGATGATACAACTCTCTCCAAGGTCCTGAAATGCTTTTTTCTTGCTAAATCCCGTAACCGTTTTTCCCCCTTTATTTAAAGGAAGCTCTCGCCCTGTCTGGTATAGCTCAGTGGATTGAGCACAAGCCTGCATACTGAAAGGTCACCAGGTTCCATACCTGGTCACAGCACATGCCCGACTTGCAGGCCAGGTCTGCAGTTGGGGGCCTGAGAAAAATGTATTGCTCTTTCTCTCCCTTTTTTTCTCCTTCTCTTCCCTCTAAAACAAATAAAATCTTTTTAAAAAATCAGCCCTCATTGCCTCCCTAATTTTGATTGTATTTACACAGCTGTCTCATCTGTAAAATGAAGGATAATAATGGTTCCTGGCTCTCAGGGGTGAGAATTAAACAATATAATGCATTTCATGACAGCCACACAGAGGGTGTTTAACTCAGGTTGGTTCCTCTCTTCTCCACCCCCCTTATCATTTGTGCGTATGTCCTACCTCTCCATAGAGAGACTTTATACTATAAATCTAACCATGCCATTCCCCTTTGCTTTTGTATGCCATCGTATGTGCTTTTCAATGGCTTCTCATGTCATTCAGAATAAAGTCTTCTGAGTAACTTGCCCTCCAAGGCTCTGGATTATTTAGTACCTGCAACATTTTCGAGTTTTACCCCATCTCTTCTCTCGTAGAATTTTATGCTTTGGCTCATGATCAAAGTCTTTGAGATAAAGTTCAACCTCCACAGCCAGGCTGGTATGACCTTTTATGATCTGGCCTCTATCTCTAATAAGCTTGTAAGCAACCTAAGCCCCAGTCACACCTGGCCCCTGGCACTTCCTGGCCTGCTGTGCCCCTTCTGGCCTCTGGACATTGCTGTTCTTTTCCCTAGAACTCCCTGCCCTCCTACTATTTCTGTGTAATTCTCTGGGTTTGAATTCCACCTTTACTTGCTTAACTACTGGGTGGTCTTCGGCAAGAGCTGTCTCTGAGCCTACTTTTCCCATCTATTAAATGGGTCTATTAATAACGCCTACCCCATAGGACTGTAGTGAAGACTAAATGATACACCTGTGACTAGTACACAGCACATGCCATGGAAATACTGCCTATTTTTATTAAGCTGAAAATGTCGTTTCCTCCAGGAAGACCTTTCTGCCAGCTGTTGCAGGCTGGGCAGGGCATCCTTTCCCCGTGTCCCCTTAGCCCCCTGCTCACTTCCCTGATGGCCCTCATCACCCTCTGTGGTAATTGCTTGTTTACTTCTCTGTCTCCTTTACTAGACTGGGGGCTCCGAGAAGACGGGGACAAATTATCTGTGACTCCGTGGCCCAGGGCAGCCAGTCCAGCCAAACCCAGAGGGTGAGAGGTCAAAGGGTCACCGTGCGACCTTTGTTGGATGGACAAGTTCATTGGGGTGAATGCTCACTACAGTCAAGGGGCAGGCTGTGATGGGAGGCGGTTATCACGTTGTCAGAACAGAACAGCAAAGTCTCCAATGGCCTCCCCGTGCTCTTAAAATCCACTTCCAAGTGCTGCAGCTATCATCTGCCACTTCTCTGTCCTCTTCAAATTCTCTCTGTCCCTTTCAGCCTCAGGGCTTCGTATGCATGTTTCCTGCTGCTGCGAAGTCCATCTACCCTCTCCCCCCAACCCCCGCCCGCCACCTGCCCCTCCTTATCCTTCAAGGCTCAGCCTCAGAGTCACCTGAACTGAATTAGGTCCTCATGGTTTCTCCTTCTCTCATTGCACCCTGTTCTTTTCCTGCACGGCAATGATTGTACTTTATTAATTTGATTATTTTGTTTCTGCCCACATTTTCCAGGAGAGGCTATAAGCTCTCTGAGGGCAGAGAATATGTCCTTACTGTCTCCTGCTCTAGCCTCAGCATCTGCACCTGGCATCAGGTGGGGACACAGTCGGTGCCAGGTGAATGTCCCCTTGAGTGAATGCCTCCACATGTGCCCTTACTTCATGAGGATTTCCATCTTGTCCTGTAGACAGAAACCGGCCTCCCGGGCCACGCTGTAGAACTTGGCCTTCATGGTGTTACACACTCCACTCTTGCAGTGGATGAAGTCACGGTTGATGCGGCTGCAGACACAAACAGGAAGGGCTTGGGGCATGGGGCCCAAGAGACAGGCCCATGAGATAGGCCTCTCTGGGCTCCAGGGTGCTTTGCAGTGGGGATTCCCTGTACCCACCTGGACGGCTCCCTGCCCTCACCTGGAGCCTTCCTCACCAATTCTCTGGGTGGAGGAAAGACAGATCTTCCCAACCATATCTGGCTGGCGGTGCAGGCCTTATTCAATGAGCCCACAGTGAGACATGCGGCCACTTGCGCCCAGCGCATGTTAAGGATCGTGAGATAAAGATGGAGTTTAGAGCTGGGAGATTCAGGTTCAAACTCCAGGGCCACGCTTCTTAGCTGCATGGGTCAGGCAAGACACGTCATTGGCCAAGTCTCAGCCTGCTGCTTTGTAGAGTGGGGTAATGTTGCTGCCTCAGGGGGTTGCTTTTTAGGAATAAGGAAGACAGTGAATATGAAATGCTTTCCCCAGGGCCTGGCACAGAGGAAGAATTTGTTGCCATTATCTGTGTTGTTGCTGGGCACCTAGACCGTGAGCCCTTGCGCTGGGAGTCCCTCATCCTTCAACAGGGCCTGTGGCATCAGGGAGTCTGCTGTACACTGGGTTGTTTCCACACCCCTGGGAAGGTAGTGGCTGTGGTTGCCACAGACACTCTGGCCCGTCTCCTTCCATTGCCCACCTGGCTCACCTTTTAGACTTCTTCTGAATCTGTTGGCTGTGGCTTTCTCCGCTTGTACTGCTGGATCTGTCACTGAAACACAAAGGGTGGTTTCAAGTTGCCTGGAGTCTGCTTTCCACACAAAGGGAACTTCCAGGGTCCCCTTGACCCTGCCAGCCTCCAGGATTCAGGTAAGGAAGGTGGTTCTAATCTAGGTGCTGGTTATAGAATTCAGTGGGTATTTTCCCCACCTTTTCTTCACCTTTGCTCCTCCCATGATTCCTGCCTGAAGAGTTCTTGTTTCTTCTCCCCCTACTCAAATCTGGCAATGTTTCATGGTCTACAGCAGGTTCTGCTTGCTCCGACTCTTCTGGGTCCAACGTTGACCTTCTGTCTCCACATATTGGCAGAATGACATATTTCCTGGATCCCAGTTTCATTTGAATAAAATGGGTCTCTCTGCTGTGAGAATGAGCTCACTGTGGATCCTTCTGTCCTCTTGTCTACACCTATCTGCACTTAACCTGGGGCCGAGGGCAGATTTGGTGAAGGGATGGTCGAATCCTCCTAGTCACGTTGTCTTTGGTGTTCCTTACCCCTGATTGCTTCTTCGTCTAGGGATTCTCTTCTCTATATTGGACCCTTGGGCTGAACACCCATTTCACTTGACTTTGAAGGCAGACAGAGCGGGGCGCAGAGCCCAGCCTTGCTCTATGGACAAGGAACTCCACTGTGGATGGTCAGCTTCCTCATCTGTGACCAATCGGCTCCTCACACCATTTGGCCCTTTCTTATGTGGGGGCTGATTGGGTTCTCTGAGTGGCTGCTTCTTCCTGTGACTCCATCCTGGCTGGGGTTTCTGGGCGAGCGAGAGAAGCTACCTTGCTCCCGCCCATCCCTCCTCTGTGCCTTCTCCCAGGGCCGCCCCAGGTCAGCACCGTCTCTCTCCCTGTGTCCTTTGTTTCTTCCAAATGCCTTAGAAATGGACTTGACTGCTTTATCTGTGTGGTTATAGAGGGTAAGACTTTTTTGTGTCCCTGTGATGTGTGGCTAACCCTTTCCCTTTGCCCTGTGACATCTGGAGTCATGGGCGCTTTCGCAGATGCCTCTCTGAAGGAAAGGTCCTGGCCTTTTCTGCTTTTCCTGCAGGCTCATGGGGCTGGAGCTAGAGTCTTAGGCCTGGCAGGTGATGGAGCAAATGCTTATTCTACTCAGTGGGGGGTTCGGGCGGTGGGGTGGGCAGAGCCCCAGTAATAACACCCAGAAAGCCTTGTGTTGGATTCCAACGGGCTGCCCTATCCCCTGCAGATGAGTTATTTGGGGGAGTGTGTCGGCTTTGACCTTCCTCTTGTAAACAACTTTCTTCCTTTCTAGAGCCAACAATGTGACTCAAGGAGGAGGTGGGAGGTGAGAGAAGTAGCGTTATTAGCTGTGATAAACAAACAAACAGAAATATAAACAACAGAAGACCCTTTTGCCTGTCTCAGTCTCCCCTATCTTGCCTCTCGTTGAGTTTCAGCCATACTGAGCTTTTCTCCATGCCTCTGAGTTGCTTCCTGCCTCAGGTCCTTTGCTCATGCAGCTTCCTCTGCTTGGAACACCCTTCCCACCTCTCCCAGTCACAGGCCACATCATTCTTTCTTTACTTCAGGTCTCCGCTTAAATGTCTAACTCAGTCTTAGTTAGGACCCTGGTGCTCAACACTCCCCCAGCCCTCCACACTTCTCCTTCAGAACACTTTCCATAGTCATGGTTGCAGGGCCGAGTCTGCCAGGTTATTTGATAAATGCATGGCAGTCCCATTAAACCAGCGATTCTTAACCATGAGCAGGATTCAAGGGGTCCGTGAATGCAGACAGGAAGAAAGTTACACCTTTATTTTATCCAGCTTAAATGCTAGTTAGCAGAAATGGAAATCACAGGTATTTGCTCATCACATTACAATTGTGGGAGCTATTTTGAAGAATCATTTACCCTCGACACTAATCCAAACTTACAGTCATTTCTAGAGCTGCTGCTGAGTCTTGTTATATATGCACTTGTTAGAGAGGCTCACAGGTTACTACATCTCAGATGTGGTTGTAATATTGCAGTCTATCTTACTATGGATTTTGTTTTAAACCTTGGTAGTTTATGGTATGTATTTAAAAGCTTTTTTTTTTTTTTCCCCTTCTGGAAGAGTCAGTGGGCTTCCTCAGACTGTCACAGGACATATGGCACAAGAAAAGTAAGGACCTCAGTCCAGACAGTGAGCTCCATGAGGGCAGCCAATGATTGTCTTATCTGCTGCTGCATCTCCCCGAAACCTGGCTCAGTCCCTGGCACCTAGGGGGTTCACTGAATATCCTCAAAATGCATAAATGAAATGGGAACAGATCTTCCCTCCCCAGTAAAGAGGGAAGAACTGGTTCTGTAACCCAACCTCCCTACTCTACCCCTCCACTGCCAGAGGGCTTCAATTCTGTGGTTGGCTAGTGAGCATGCAGTTGCTGGGGAGAAGTACCTGGGCACTCACCCCACCCCCCAGCCTTGAGAGTTAAGGGGCTTATTTCTAGTGAGGAAGAAGAAAGTCACTCTTCCCTGCCCTGCTTTCCACGGCCCAGTGAGGAACACCTCTACAGTGGGCCCCTGGAACTGCGGGGGCGCCTCCCGACCCACCTGCCGCAGGCCCCGGTCCTCCCTACCTTGATTTGCGGGTGGTCTGCATGTCTTTATAGGCAGAATCGCTCTTGGTTTGTCTCACCATTGACAAGATACTGCAAAGCAAGAGGAGTCTCTTAATAAGGCGCCAAACCTGCGGTGCTCCCTAGGCAGCTGTTCTCTGTGGGAGGACAAAGAGTTCTCTTTCTAGGGCAGGACTCCTTAGACTCTGCCAGGCAGAGGAATCACCTGGAGAGGTTGCTCAGAGTGCAGATTCCTGGGCCATGCTCCCCGCGGTCTGGATACATTAGGCCTGGAGTGGGCGCCCACCCCCGAAGCTGCATTTAAAAGCACACATGTGCACACACCCTTCTGAAGCCTGTGTGCAGAGAGCACACTTTGAAACCTTCAAATTCCTCAGCATATTGTGAAGTAATGCCCACCGAAGTGTTTGTTTAAAAACATGATTTCCTCTGGAGATTCTGATTCAGCGGGTCTGGGATGAAGACTAGAAATTTGCATTTTTTATGAGCACCCCTGCTGACTCTGACTTGCAGGGACCTTTGGAGAACACTGCCAGAGGAGTTTGCGAGAGGGCTGTCTTCCCAGACCATGTGATGGCCTGAATGTACCATGTCCCCCCAAATCCATGCGATGAAATCCTAACCCCCCAAAATGATGGTTAGGAGTGGGGCCTTTGGGAGGTGATTATATCATGAGGGTGGAGTGCACATGCATGGGATTAGTGTCCTTCCTAACCTTCTGTCAGCACCTTGATCTTGGATTTCTAGCCTCCAGAACTGTGAGGTAGACATCTCTGTTCTTTATAAACCACCCAGTTTATGGCATTCTGTTATAGTGGCCCAAACAGACTAAGAGGAAAGAGGCCCGGGACTGGGTAGGTTGGCTGTTAAGGTTTCCTAAAACCCCAGAATTCTCTGTCAGCCTTGACAGCAGCAGATCTGACGTCTAAAGTGGGAAGGGAAGCGGGTTCTAAAGTGAGGAGGGGAGAAGAAATCGGCAGCTTTGCCTGTCTCTCTGCAGCTTCGTGGAGAAGCCTTCAATACTTGCTGCCTTAGTGAGGGATTAGGGAGATTTTCCTCCCCGAGGAAATGGGGAGGATGGGAAATTGCAACAGGTTCTTCTTGCTCTGTAACCATGGTTATTTTCTCATGAAAGTGAACACAGAGGCCGCATGGTGAGTTTTGTGAGGACCAGGTCCTTTCGTGTTTTTGCCTTGGACAGCCTCATGCAAGTCACTCATCACCACCCTTCTATGTCTATGCGACGTATGGGAATGGGTAGGAAACCTGCCTCATCGAGGTGCCACGAAGACTCTGTGGGGCACTGTATCTGCGACATAAAAGCAACAGCCTTCACCACCACTATGACCACTGCTGAGCGCTCTCAATATTCCAGGCACGTTTTGTATGCACTGTACCTCGCTACATGCTTCAGACAATTCATTGGAGTAGACATTATTTCCACAACAATAATAATGATAATACTGTGCTAGGATAGTGTCATTTAATCCTCATGGCAACCCTTTGAGACAGGCCGTTAACAAGCCTCGTTTTACAGAATTGGGATCAGGCTCAGAGAGGTGAAGCCACTTGTTCACCATCACAGAGCAACGAGATGATGAGAATGGAGATGAACCCACATCTATTTGGTTCCAAGGCCAATGCTTTGATGCCACCCAGTCTCATTTTGTAGATGAGAAAACTGTGTTTTAGAGAAAGGCTGAGGGACTTGCTCAAAGCATCAGGTTGTGAACCTGTGGCAGCCTGACTCCAAAGCCAGTGTTCATACCATGAGTTCTTACAAAGGGAGGAGACTCAGCGAGCTATCTTCATCCTTATTGTCTGTCTCTGATACTGATGAGTCAGGCTCAGCAGCCCAGGCCTCACGGGCCAACGTGGTCTCCGAGTGCCTGCAGGGGCCACCCTTCGGAGCCCCAATGTGAGTTGAAGCAGCAGCAGACAAATTCATCATTACAAGCAGAGGTGAAAGTGCTTGGTGAACTGTAATTATGGTAATAACAATAACCAATAAGTTATAGCTGGCATCTCTGTAGGCTAAAGGCAATGATGAACCTCTTCTAGTGCCTCATTTATTTTCAGGAAGCAATTTGCTTATTCAGAGGGATCTGCACTCGGGAAGGGAACTGCAGTTCTACCCATGGACTCTCTATGGCTTTTAGAAGCCAGGAGCTCCGTGGACGAGGCTTCCCACCCGAAGGAAGACACTTCATGTTCAAGTCGTACACTCCGAGCCAATCACATTGGTTGCCAGCTTGAAACTTCAAAGCATTCTTGTTGCTCTTAGGAGAGACACAAGAATCCTTGAGGTGGCCTCCCAGGTCCCAGACAAACTCAGGCCTCTTCCCATCCACTTTGGCTGCATTTTAGTTCTTTGAGGGTGCCATGGTCCCTTTGGACCTTGTTTGCATAGACATATGTGCTGTCCATAATGGTCTCCCTTTCCCTCCCCCACTCCAACTTTGGCCAGCTGACTCCTTTTCATGCCTCATTCAGAATCTCAGCTTAACGCTTCTTCCATCGAGGAGCCTCCTCCGATCCCCACCTCCGTCCCAGACCCCTGTGCCGTTTCCTGTCACAGGGCCAGGCTTTCCTGCAGCGCACTTCTTCTGTGGTTAGCGCCTCGCCCATACATCGTCACCACCATTCGCCAACAGGATGAGCGAATAGCCTGGTGGAGAATGGTTTCTGGAGTTAGAAAGATCTGGATTCAAGTCGTAGTCTTTCATTAATTAGCTGGGTGACCTCCAACAAATTACTTCACCTCTCTGAGCCTTATTCTGTTACTTCCTTATTTGTTAAATAAAGATAATAGTACCTACCTTATAGGGTGGTGGTAAGACCCTGGGGAGATGACACATGTGAAAAAGGACATGGCTCAGTACTCGTTGCAGAGAAAACATCAATAACTGAGACCTGCTGTTGTTAATTTCCTGTTATTACGTTGATAGCTTTTATTTGCTCCAGGAGTCAAGAGCACATACCTGGGAACATTTTTTTGTATCTCATTCTCCATCGTGACTGTCCTCCGGGCATCTTCCCGGACCATCTCCAGGAGCTTCAGCAGATCTGACGGGAACACAGAAGGTCACGGCCTGGAGGGCTCTCTGGAGACAGGATTGTGCCGCACAGGGCCCAGCCCCTAGCCTAATGTTGCCCCTGCTCCTTCTGAGTGCTGGGGAGCTGGAGAGGGACGAGAAGAGGTGGCCAGAAGAGGTGGCTTGGAGTGTCTGACAGGCTGTGAATCTGACCATGTCACTCATTTGCTTAAAACCCTTCAATGACTCTCCATTTTCCTTTAGGGCAACCTCTAAATCCCTCTGCGTGGTCTCTGAGCCCTTGTACTAGGACCAGGCTGCTCTTTTTCTGTCCTGTCTCATCTCATATCCACCCCCCGCCCCGCAACCTTAAATTCTACTCTAGCCAGAGAAAACTGTTTCCCGTTTTAAGAAGAAATCAGCTTATTCAGGAAATCGGCTTTGATCCCCTGGACCTGAAGTTCCGAGCTGGTCCCCTGCGGGCTGAATCTCGCTCACAGAGAGGTTTGGTATGATTTGAGGATGCCAACCTTTTAAAACTGGGGGGCTTCACAGAAAAATCCAGACCTCCAGCTCCCCTGGAAAGGACCTGAGATGGGCCTGGCTCCTGCCACACGCTGGCCATGGCCTTTAGCCAGGCGCCCGGGGCTGTGGCGCCCATTGCTCCTCATGGCATTTGTTGACTTTTATTTCATGTTGAATATTATTGCTTTTAGAAATATTTCCGTCCTGGGTTGGCAGAGGTGGGAGAGTACACATTCTAAGGGTTTGATCTGGGACTGACATGCACGTGTCTGGTTCTGTGTTTGTGGTGTGGGAGGCTCGGTGTTTGCTGGACAAATCAATGAATGACTAAGGAGAAAAACAAGGGGAGGATTCGTCCGACCATGCATTAGATTTCAGATGTTGACAAAGGAGGACAGTGCCTGTGGAGATGCCTTCACGCTTCCGCAGGTGCCTGTGGTCAGCCCCAGGTCAGGCCTCAATGCCATGGTAGAGCCCAGTGCCCCCCAAGACCTTCTGTGGCCAGCCTTGTCTGAATGCCGTCACCAGCTGCTTGGGGAAGGGCGTTCCCCCTCTAGGCTGTGATAAACATCCATGCTGGGCCATTTCCACCCCACCATCCTTATTCTCAAGTGGTTTATTTTCCTAGTCATTTGTGGTGACGATTCTATTTGACCTGAATCTGACCTTCACTGTGTTTTGTCATGCCTACCTCTCCTACGGCCGCATATCCCAGAATTGTGGGTATGTCCAGAAGGCTGTTAGTAAGAGAGCTGTGGCTGGTTACTCCACTCCCCTCCCGCCTCCTGGGAACCGTGTGGCAATATCTGACTTCTCCCCCACGCAGCCCCGGGCTGCGTGGATACCAGCAAGTGACCCCGGTGACCTGGCACATTGGGCAGCTCTCCGAGAAAATCGTGTCTAAAGCTCCACACGTCTCTTAATACACTACAATTTTTTCTCTGCTTACCAACAATGCCTCTGGGCAGGAACGGTGCCCCCCAGCATTAACCTCCGTCCATCATGTAGCTGAGGTTGCCTGGGTGTGAAGCAGGACAAAGCCTCGAGGCTGTGAGGCCCTGTTCACTCCTCAAGGCCACCTGGGAGAAGAGGCTTGTTTGGAGAGGGTGTCGATGCCACAACACAGAGTTTCCCTGGGGAAGGTCAGCCTGCGATGGACGCCCGCATCACAGGGACCTGCTCAGTTCTCAGTTCCCAGGGCTATGGGATGCTGTTACCCATTTCTCAGAGACGGTGGCGCCCTGTGTTTTCAGAGACCAAATTCTACCTCCAAAGAAAAATTCTAATTTTCTTCCTCCATCTTCCATCTCCAGCCTGTCTAGGAATCTCAGTCTTAAGTGAATAAACCCATTTCTTTCTCTCTTTGGGGGGAAATAAAGAAGACCTTTTCATTGTGTGGGGTTGGTTTGAGGAGGGAACATTAGATAGCGTAGGGTCCCTCTTTTTTTAATCCTTACCTGAGGATATATTTTTTGATGTTATACAGAGAGGAAGGGGGAGAGAAGGAGAGAGGGAGGTAGGAAGACAGAATTGATGTGAGAGAGACATCAATCGGTTGCCTCTTGCATGTGCTTAGACCAAGGATCGAACCTACAACCCAACCCGTTGGTGCACAATATGATGCTCCAACCAACTGAGCCTCCTGGCCAGGACTGGGCCCCTCTTTTGAAACTGCCTTTCAAGTGAGTTTCTCCTCTGAGTGTTCCAAGACTGGGAACTTCAAGGTTTGCAGAAGGATTGACCCAAGCATTGGTTTCTCAGGAGTCCCCCACCCACCCACCATTGATTTGGGGAGGGGATCGGTCTACTGATTTACATCTACAAAGACTTCATTACACACCTAGCCCTGGAAATTAAACCTTGGTCAAATAGTGTGTCTCTCAGAATAGGATTCATGAATTCAGAATTAATCTGAAGAGGTTTTAGAAGGCAATGAAAGTCTGAGAAATTAATCTACTTTTGTCAAAGCTGTGACAAGGGGTGGAGGTTAACAGATAGACAGAGGAAGAGAGTGAGGAGACAGGAATAGGAAGACTTTCTGGTGGAAACGCATTTCCTGGTCATTGTTGTTCCTCTGCTGTGCGCCAGGCTGGAGGTGAAAGAGACATTGTTCCCTACCTGTAGAGAGTTCATATTTCCTTTCCCTTTCTTCCTTAATAATGAAATAAACAAACAAACAAACAGTGTGTCTGTCTGTCTCTGCATGTACGTGTACTTTTTGTGTGTGGGAGGGGAATCACTTACTAGCCCAGTTTCCCAGTATACTTTGTGGCTATGTGTGTATCTCTGACTAAATTCTGGACAATGAGATTTTAGTGGAAGTGCAGCTGTATGGAACTTCTGAAAAGGCTGCTTAAACTCAGCTTGGAGTGGGAGCTTTTGTACTTTGTGTACTTCCTTCTGCTTCCAGACTGGAATGTGGCTGTGACGACTGGTGTTCCAGCAGCCATTTTGGATGATGAAGTGATGTTGAGCATGGCTGAGCATGGAGAAGAAAGACAGAAGGAAGTAGGATCCCTGGTACTCTTTTGGAGTTATTCTACCAGCCACAGACTGGTGTTCTTTAATCTGTAAGAAAGATAAACTTGTATCTTTTTACACCATTATTTTTCAAATCTCTGTACCCAGCCAAAGGAAATTCCTACCCAATGCAGTAGCTGTAAATTAATATTAAGTACTCAGTAAAAGCAACTACATTATACTACGGGAATTGAGAGGAAGGAACCCAGGAGAGTCAGAGAAGACTTTATAGTGGAGTGAATATTTGAGCTGGGTCTTGAAGGTTGAGTAAGAGTCCAACAAACTGAAAGGTCAGAGATAAAAGGGCATTGAAGACAGAGGAGGGCGCAAAAGAACGCACATTATTTAAGAAGAGGAAAGTATTTTGGTGACGTTGAAATGCCTGGTATAAGGTATGAAGAAGCGAGAGCAGGGCCAATTAGGGACAAGATCAGATGCAATATTTTAGAGGCAGTGAGGAGTCACTGAAAGACATTAAGCGAGGGAGCACTGTATCAGATTTTTAATTTAGAAAGTCTCCTCTGGCTCAACATAGAGAAGAATTTGTGGGAAAATGAGGGCAAGGCAGGAGCAAGGAGACTAATTAGGAAGATACTGCTCTCATCTAGGTCAGAAGTGATGACAATCTGGACTGGGGTCCACATGGGTCAGGTGCCAAAAGTGAGTGGCGTGGGCTGGTACAAGAAAAATCAGGCTGCTCTCCTGGCCTTTCATTCCCGCTTTTTCTAGACACATGTGTAAAGCATAGAGGTTAATGTGACTCGAGGGCAGATTGACTGGTTTCAAATTCTGGCTCTATGCCCCAATTTTCTCATCTGCAAAATAGCATAAAAAGTTGTTGAGGATTAAATGAGGATTAAAAGTGAGGATTAGGGCAAGGCAGAGACAAATGTATTTGAAAAAATAAATAAATTAATTTAAAAAAAAAGTGAGGATTAAATGAATACCGTAAGGGCTTCATATTTAGGAGATGACACTGATTGGAGCAGGCGGTTAGTTAGACGCGGGAGGGAGGCTGGCCATTGGGAAGGGGTCTGCCCTGTCTCAGGTGCCTGGAGAGTTGGCATCAGCCACCCCTCCCCTCATCACAAGGCTCCTTCCCCCGCCGCCCACCACTGGGAGAACCACATGCAATTTCTGGGACCGAGGCTGAGTCTGGAAGCTGGAGACATGCCTCTGTCCTTATTTAAGGGCACGACTTTTCGAGTTAAAAGACACACAGCATGAATATAACATTAATAACCAAACAGACATTTTTGAAAAGAAAATCAGATCCTGTTACTCCTGTACCAAAACCTTCCAGAGACCTCCTGTTGCACTTGGAATAATTCTGAAATCCTTACCTTGTCCTGCAAAAAGGCTGTGCAGGCTCCTGCACCTGCCTCCCTCCCCGGCTTCATCTCTTCAGGTAGCAGCTCAGATGTCAAGGTTGAGAGAGGCCCTCACTGGCCACCCTGGCTAAAGTAGCCCGAGCCCCACCAATAGCCTCTCTCTAGCCCAACATCTTGTTTTATTATTATTTTTGATCATGTATTACTGGTAATTATCTATTTATGGTTTTCATATTTATTGTCTGCTTTTTCCTTCTAAAATGTAAGCTCTGGGAGGGCAGATACTGCAACTCTCAGTGCCAGGCACTCAGTAGCTGGTCAACAGATCCATGTAGGATGGAAGAAGTTTCAAGACATCCTGGAGAGTCACACATCTGCTGATGGCTTATCTTAGTTCCTCTCCATCTTGGATAATACTCCTGTTCAGTAAACAGCTTTTCAGGGCTTGGGCCTTTTTTCCTCCCCTGTAAACAAGGGGGTATTGGGAATTTTTCTCACTGGCAGTCATTACTCTGAGTACTCACCACTTACTAGAATTTAGTGCTTTCTTCCATTTCTGGCTTTGAGGGCCACAATCGGGCTTTCTGGTCTACCTTGAGCTGTTGTCCAACCTCTTTGAACCTACACTACACCCAATCCTTGTCAGCTCAGCCTTTTCTCTTTCTTCCTTCTTCATCATTCTCTATAAGTCCTTCTCTTCACTTTCCTGTCTCCTTGAAGCTCAAGCCAGAAAGTTCTGAGAATGAACTTTCCACATGACTTATGGAGTCCACTCACAATTCTCTCTGGTGGGGGTCCACAGGCTCCCCCGAAGGAATATGCAAAACTATGTATTTATGTATGTTTTCATTTCTTTTCTGGAGAAAGGACCTGTTGCTTTCGACAGATTTTTCTACAGAAGCTGTGTCTCCAAAATTATGAACCACTGAAAAAATATGTTCCAGAATGGGGATCTCAAATTCCATGTTTAAAATGTTCAGAAAAGGCAAGTCCTTAGAGAAAGAAAGATTTGTGGTTACTGGGGCCTGGGGGTGGGAAAGGAGAGGGACTGCCAATGTGTATGAGGTGTTCTTTACGGGGGACTGAAATGTTCTAAAATTAGGTTATGGTTACCCAGCTCTGTAAATTTACTAAAAATCATTGAATTGTACACGCAAATGAATGGCTTTTATGGTCTATGAATTATACCTCAAAATCTGTTACAATAGACAATGAATTTGAAAACCTGTTATGACAAAATATAAAATATCTCAATAATTCTTATGTCCCGGTTACAGGTTGAAATGATAATATTTTATATAAGTTAGGCTAAATGAAATATATTACTAACATTTTAAACAGAGAAATTGATGGCCATTGGCTGTCTCCCAAGGAGGAACAGCTCAGGGTAACTGAGGTTACAGGATATATTTCTGATCTCCACCGGAGTAGAGCAAGAGGACCAAGGAGATAGAACAGGGATAGGGAACCCCGTGTCTCCTTTAATTGAGTGGGGGCAGAAGTGGAGCAGGGGGCATTCTGGATACCTGGCTTCAGGGCAAAGTGTCAGTGTGGATTGGTGTAATCTCAGGCAGGACTTACTAATATGAAGAGGTTCTTCATCTGGTTTGGTTGAAGACGATTCATTGTCCTCGATGTCCTTGCTGCCTGTTGCCTGGATGGTCATGCTAGGGAGCTCATCTGAGCCAGGGTTCATGGAGATCATGCTGCTCTGGGGAGATGACCCCCCACTAGCCCGGGACAGACTGAGTGTGGAACCTCGCCGGCTGGGTTTGCGGTTTGTGGCACGGAGTACAGGAATTTTGAATTTCTTGGTCTGAAGGAAAGAGAGAAGAAAGAGGGATTTTTGAAAGGAAGGAAGGAAGGACAGAAGGAATGAGGAAGGAGAGAAAGAGGAGGGAGGGTGGAAAGAAGGGAGGGAAGAAAGAAGGAAGGGCAAAAAAGAAGTGAAAACCTGGTTCTGTTGGTGAATTCTGTTTGGCTCTTTCCAAACACTATGAGATATTTTATTGGTCTGGAGTGACCTTCTGTCGCAAGTTGAGAAAATTTAAAAATATGTATTATTTGAAGTAAATGTGATGAGATGTATTCTATTCACTGAGTTCCGTGGTTGCCTGAGCAGTCACCACAGGAAGCTGACGTGTATTCCACTGATGTTGCCATGGCCTGGAGCGGTTTTTGACTTTTCTTTCCTAATCATCATCAGAACTGATTTTAACCTGTGGAAGAGGATGGGTCTAATTTCTACATGTTGGCTTCGACCCCAAATTGCATGTATCAACTTCTTGCTCACCAAGTTGATGCCTGAGCCTCAGGAATGAAGATTTATATTAGTTTGGTTTTCCCAAAGTACGCAAGATGGAGAGAATTCTAAGTCTGACACTTATGAGGTGGAGTAGGAGGAAGCAGATTTGTCTGATGTGGTGTCACCCTTGGGGGGAAGATCGCTGGTTGTGATGGGCAGGAAGATCTAGATGACAAGTCCTAGAAGCTCTAGGTGGGCAGGGAAAGTCCTGTGAGGGGAATGTGAATTTTTGGAAAGAAAGGAGTCAGAGAGGGCTGGTTACATGTGTGCGTGCACATCTGTGTTGATGTGCACATTTATATGTGTGCATTTGTGTGCAATTGTGTTTGTGTATATGCACGCCCTCTTGGTGTCACTTCAGAATGCACCGTGTGAAGTCATGTCCTCATTTGACCCACGATCTGAGTCTTAGAGAGGCCTCCTGACGTGCCCAGGATTACACAGCAAGAAGGGGCACAGCTGGGATTCAAACCCAGGTCAGGCTAATGCCAAAGCTAATTTATTATGCTTTGCATAAAAATACTTTAACAGCCTTTTTAGGTGGCATTAAAAATGCCCTCATTCCCCTGCTGGCAGTTCTTTAGGACCTTCAGAGTACTGGCTTTGCAGGGGGCGAGAGTGGGCCCTCAGCTCTCCAGAGGAAGAGCTGAGCGTGGGCGTGGGCTACAATTAACCCTCGATTAATAGAAACAATTTTGAGAACATTTAAAAGGAAAGCTCTGGCAGGGCAGACTGAGGTCTTCTTTTCATGAAATGCATAGTGTTTGATACCCTAGGGAAGAAGATAGGGAGAAGTTGTAGCCACACCAATATTGAATAAATATCTAACACGGCAGAGAGAATTGTATCCAGCAGGATTCACTTGGGGGAGTCCACTGTATGGAATCAGAAGTAATTTTTTGATTGGCCACCTTGTGGGGCCCTGAGTGTAGGTGGAACTTCCCTGCATGAGAAGAGGGGAGGGATTTCTCAGTTGCACAGGGGAAGTGTAAGGTGGAGGAAGAGGGTGGGGAAGGCAGTGGGGTTTAAGGTGTGATCACTTCTGGGCTCTCTCCCCTCCCTGCACAATTGTTAGTGAAATTCCACACAGTGATGGAATGCTTCAAAATGCGATAGATGGGGGAATTGGAGTTTGAACTGGGTTTAACCAGATCTCCAAAGGCTTGCGGATTTCAAAGTGGCTGTGATTTAAAAAAAAAAAAAGCAAATGCCAAAAGTTGGTATGTTCTCTCCCTGGATAAATTAGGAGCTTGATGCAGTGCCCATTTTGTCCTGATATTGGTCAAGAGCTCACTAGGCTGACGGAACACCTGTCTGCTCCCTGTCACCCTGGGGAGCGATGACATCCAAGCTCAAGGACAGTGCATGTAGAAGTTGCCTCTTCCTGACTCATCTGGCACAATGTGAATTCCCAACTCTAGAAACCAGGCGCTTTAGATCAACGTCATTTTTGATGTCTAGACAGATTGTGTCATGTGGGCGGTCTGGGGGCTGCAATGAGCTGTGGACTCAGAGCCAGGGGACCTCAGGGGACACGTGGGCAAGTCACTCAGCCTTGCCTCAGTTTCCTCATCTATAGAAGACAGACGGAGGGACTGGGATGACCTGAGAAGAACTTTTCATATCCAGAATTCAGTGTGCATCTTCCTTGGGCTAGGACTTCATTTTGTGCTTCTGAAGTTGCCATTAATTAAAATTCAATTAACAACCTCAGCCAGGAAATCCAAAGTGAAAGGCTGACACTTCTGATTAATTGAGAGTGGCAGAAAAGTAAAATGTGGGGGAGAACATGTGACAGGCAGTTTCAGTGTCACCCTTGCCCTTGAGTGAACCGACTCTCTGAATTGACTTAAATCCCCAGTGCTGCTTCTCTATTTTTTCCTGTATTTTATTTGAGAGGGGCATTAACCAGCTACTGTGTTCCACCTCAGTAGGGCCCGCAGTGTTTCCTTATACTTTCTGAGAAGTAGGGGTCCCAACCTGGTGGCCATGGGAAAACATGTTTAGCTGCCCAGGATTTTACAAATTGAGATTTTTATATAAAAACTGAGGCCATTGCCCTCTTTCTTTAAAATGATAAACCGTGGCTGGCATGGCTCAGTTGGTTGGAGCATCATCCTGTAGCCAAAGGGTTACAGGCCCAATTCCCGATCAGGGCATATGCCTGGGTTGTGGGTTCGATCCTAGGTCCAGGCACATATGATCTCTGGTCTGGGCGCACACAGGAGGCAACCAATTGATGTTTCTCTCACAGTGATGTTTCTCTCTCTCCCTTCCTCTCTCTCTAAAAGCAATGAAAAAAAATGCCCTCAGGTGAGGATTAAAAAACAAGAAGAAAATGGTAAGTCCTGGGCTCCCATTCTCACCTGGCAAAATGAGCTAAGGCTGAGCAGAGGTTCTTCCCTTTAGCTTTGTAGTATTCCTATTTGCCGCAGATCTCACTACACCCTAGAGCCTACTCAGCCTGATTTTTAAAATTTATTCAGTTTGCCAGGCTCCTGTGAGCAGTGCCTAAGCACCACCATCAAGCTCAACACATAGAGAAGCCTACCCCTGGCTGTGTGAGTTGGTTAGAGCCTGTCTTTCACAGGGCTCATTCATCGTCGCGTGGAGAAACTCGGGCCAGGAGAGAGGAAAGGACTTGTCCAGTGCCACACAGTGAACTGAATCACAGTGGCTGAGCTAGGTCTCTTGCCTCCCAGTTTCATGCTCCTCCACCCTCTGAGTGGACCACGTGGCAGCCCAGAGTTTGACCCACGGACTTGCCCTGGGGAATTCAATTTTGTGAGAGTTCAAGTATGGTGATTCACGCGCCCCTCCTCCCATTTTTGCTGTGTATATTCCTGAAGGACACTTTTTTTTAGAGGTTTGTGGCTCCTGCTGCTTTTTTCCTGTTCATCTCTGGAGACGGATGCACACGGTATCTCCATAGCAACTTTCTGTGATAAAAACCAGGGTTCGTTCTTCTCAGAGCTGTGAGCAGCCTGATGAAGAAGCGAAAAAATGCTGAAACTCTTCATGAGGGGCAATTATAATCACGGTGCCATGAGAACATGCATTTGAAGACTCAGTGTTTCGTAAACAGTGTTTGATAAACAGACCAGGATTAACTCCTGGCTCTGCCGTGACCCTCTGTGTGACCTCGTGCAAGTCACTTAACCTCTCTGAGCCCTAGTTTCCTCCTCTCCTCTCCCATCTGCGGGTAAGAATAGTGCCTCATGGGATTATTAAGAGGACGGACTAGCCTGCTTAGCTCAGAAACCAGTCCATTGCAATTATGTTAGAAAGTAGCTTCTAAAAATTATATCACCACAATAATGCTCAGCACTTTAACATTTTCAAGGTGAGCTTGCATATTGTTTCCTGGGGCCCTTTGCTAATCCTGTGAGGTGAACAGGGATGAGCATCGTACCCATTTTGTGGGTATGGGGAAAGCTTCAGCATTTGCTAATGCTGTGAGGTGAACAGGGACGAGCATCATACCCATTTTGTGGGTATGCGGAAAGCTTCAGCAAATACCCTACCTGTGTGTTTCTCAACTGCCTTTACGTATCAAAGTATCACCTGCCGTTATTATGATTGTGGTGCTTTGTTGAGTAGGTGAATTTGGGAGATTTGGGGGTTAAGAATAGTTCTGGATGAAAAGAATAGGCCTCTTGATATTTTCTTAATAAACACGTGTTCTAGTTTGTAGAAAGCGCCGTGTGTCGAATAACTCACTATTATTTTCTGGCTGAGTTGGAGACAGAGAGGGAGGGAAAGAGAGAAGAGGCGGAGAGAGAGAGAGAGAGAAATGACTGTTATTAATCAAAAATATAGAGTGAGGTGCGTCCATTTCCTTCTGGTGACATCCTATTAGGCAGCACCTCAGCGACCCGTCCCCTCCTCTCTGAAGCGGCCTCCAGCCAGATGCCATGTCTCCTGCAATTCCCAGATAACCAACGATCCAAGGACATGTGGCTCTGGCTTTCCTTCACCCAGGGAACCAACTAGATAAAAGAGAAGTCCCTTGCGAGAAACGACTGGCAACCACGCCTCCCACACGGGTTGGCGCCAGTGCCCAGGCGGCCGTGTTGTGATACCTTTGGCGCGGTGATGAAGTGCTCCCACCTCTGGCCCATGAACTTGTCCTTATTGATTTTTTTTATCGTGCTCTTGCTGCCACCTGGGTCCCTGAGTGAGAAATGGCTTAATGAGTGTTCTGTTTCCAGAGTCTCAGTTTATTACAAGGTCTTTTAAGAAATGCAATAAATAGATGATGGATAGTGGCCAGTCTCTATTATAACTTTTTTCCCCATCCTATACTCGTGAAGAAGTGGGGAGGGACAGTTCTCCACAGCTGGGACTTGTGAGTGAAAATCGAGGTTAGGAGAGACCACTGCTTACTGGGTGGGGCTGAGGAGATAGAATGTATTTGTGTGTGTTCTACATCTATTTGCACTTGAAGCCGGGTCCTTCTCAGACTCCAGGGCAGGTCTGTGCTTGCTCCTGGGGGTGAATTGAAAAGCCTGTTTGTTTCTGAATCTCTGCCTGCACTAATGACTAAGGGTCCCACCCTCAGGGACCTGTCCACATCACACAGGGAGAGAATTACTGGGGGTGGGGTGGGGGTTGAGGGGAGTTTGTGGGTGGGTTGCACAATGAAGATCACTCATTTGAAGCTTACTGTGCGAAAGTTCTATTCGATGTCATATGGAAGGCGCTTCTGTGCCTTCTCAGTAAATCATCGCAAGAAAACTCTGTGATTTAGTCATCACCATCCCTTTTTACAGATGAGAAAACAAACTCAAGGAGCGGGGCTCATGTCACTCTTACCATGGTGCATATTCACAGTGACTCAGATGACCCTGGCCTGCATGGGGCCCTCCAGGGCTCTGCACCTAACTTCCTGTTGTAGCTTTGTATTCTGTTTCTTAAAGGGTCCCCACCCACAATTCCTGGATCCTCCCCTCACGGGCTGGGAATTTTCTCCGTACGAGACTGAAGGCCCAGTAGGTTCTGTTGGTGACATGCCCGCAGTCCCGTATCTGAAATCCATGGGTCCTGATGAGTAACTGGAATTTTGGCATCTTAGAAAGGAACTATGTTGCATACGTCGCATGCCGCTACCCTTGCGCTCGAAGGGTCTAAGGCAGCGTGCTGTAATCAAACACGTTAGTATTTCTGCAGTGATATACGTGAATATTCACACGAGGGGGGATAAGTAAAGACTATAAATTGCTTCAAGTCAAGTTTTACCCTCAACTCAATTGGATTCATCTCAGATTTTGCTGCCAAATGAGTTGGAGAAACCGAGTTGGAGGATTTTCAGAGCCTTTTGGATTTGGGCTTGTGGCGGCTCTCTGATCAGCAGGGAGGCAGGAAGACTCAGTGTGTGCTTTCTCAGCCGCACCTACCTGTCTATCCCTTGATTGATCTCTTTCCTTCCTAGCCTCTATCCATCCTTCCACCCACTCACCCACCTCTTTCTTTCTTCCCCTTTCCTCTGCCGAAAGGACTGTAGATGGCTGAGAGCCTTCTGATCAATCTGCAGGCTGTCACCTAGCGTAGATGGGGGACTTGAGGGAATGAGATGGCCAGGCCAGTTGGATGGGGGGAGGCACTGACAGGGGTCTGGAGTTATCAGGGGCTGCAGAGTGCCAGCGGGGGTCGGGGGCAGATGCTCAGATAGAGGAAGCAAGAAACGATCAAGATCAGCTTCACTTAAGACTGGCTTCTCCCGGCACAGGGGTCTGAGTAGCAAGATCAAAGGACTTTGCCAGACCAAATGGGGAGGGGGTGTGTGAGCTCCGCTGGCAGAGCCTTGCTGAGCACCTACCAGCTCACAGCTACGACGCAAAAAACACACCCAGACACCCAGGTGGAAGTCGGCCTGAGGAGGGCGGGGTGAGAATGTGCCTCCAAGCTTTTTGTTCAGACTTTATGTTTGATTACACAATAAAAAGCCCTCTGAATAATTAACAGTGAAGCTCATTTAACGTTGGTTCTGCCTGCCTCTCCCCTGAGTAATCAAATTAGGGAATATTTAAAATCCAGCCAGAGGAAGGAGCAGCAATACTTCAGTCCTATAAACAATATTTAAACTAGCAGCCCTTTTGAAGTCTGATTTAAGGCTCACCAACTGGAAGCTTTAGTGTTTCCATTTTGGACCATTTCTCTCAAGACCACAGGGCTTTTTGCTTTTTCCCTTTGCCAGTGCAGCCCCTGCTGTACCTCTAGCCTTCTTCTTGAAGTTCAAAAGCAACCCCCTTCTCCTTTTAAAATTAAAGCTGGTCCAAGCCAAGCTTTCTACATCTTAAATATTCAGGTCCAGTGGGGAAGATGGAGGCTTTCTGTTGACACCGACTTCCAAGATGACCCAATGTCTGTTGCAACTTCAGGCAGCAGGCTAAATGAGCTGGAAAGGCAGCAAGCTTCCCGGAGATCTTTAAAAGCCTCGTGTCGGTGCTCTGCAGAGCCGTTGGTAAAGAATGGGCCTGGTTAGACAGAATCAATCTCTCTGTTTCATTTTCAGTAGCAAATAAAGCAAAAGGGAAGATCAATAGGGGTAGGAAAAGAAATAAACAACCTGAGCGTCGTCCACTGTGGGCTGACTACACGCCCTTCGGAGGAGGGTGAAACAAGTTGGTGCCCCTGCCAATAGCTTGGTGGGAAGGTCATTAGTGCATTCACCAGATAGTCCCTGGTCTCTTGGAATCAGGTGTAGCACCATGACTTGCTTTGCTCAAAAATGCATGAGTGAAGGTGGCCTGTGGCACTTAGGGTGCCAGTCCTCGAGGCAGGATCCCTTTTCTGCTGCATGGACGGTGAAAGCTTGCACTGAGGTGAAGCTCCGAGCAGCCTGGGTCCTTGAGTGGCTCTAATGAGCAGAGAGCCCCGTGTTGATGATTTGTAGGGTGAGCAGGAAATAAACTTGTGTTCTGTGAAGCCACCGAGATTTGAGGGTTGTTCATTACGTCAGCATAACCCAGTTTACCTAATTGATGTCCCTAATTTACTGTCTGTGACCTCAGGCAAGTGTCTCTGAACATCAGAACCAGGAAAGAGGTACACCTGGTGGTTTAAGAATCGGGCAGGCTGGCTGTTTGAGTCACTGCCTGACCCCACTGCTTCCTAGATGTGTTTGTGTAAGTTATCGGGACTCTCTGAGCCTCAGTTTTCTCATCTGTAAAATGGAGGGAGGGGCGCAATATTAGCTATGTTGTGAAGATGCAATGAAATAAGGTTTGTTAAGAACTTGGTAAGGTTCCTTGTACAGAGAACTGAAGACAAACTATTAACAGCAACATGCCTTTTTCCACAGAGATCTTAGTGTGGCTTGGAGGAGGGGCTGAGGGTGGGAAGGAAACACCTAGGAAGATCCATGGGGGAGAAGTGCCTATGATTTTTGGACCACAGTTGCTGCCTGCTGAAGCTTTCTGGGAGATGCTAATGCCGGAAGTCCAAGGATGAGGGCCTTAAGCGCTGTCCCATCTGTCCCGTCTCTTTTAAGCACATTTTGTTCCTAGCAGTCACTTGAAGATGTCTATTTACAGTGGCAATCAGAGTAATTTTTCTCAAACACTTCACTTTCTTTCTGAGCCTGCATTTGGGATAAAACTTCTGCTTCTCAGAGTGGAAAACCTGATGTCTGGTTTAGGAGGCATTCACATGTCCATGACTAAGACGGAGAAAGGCTTGTGGGTCTCTGTAGATAAAGCGAGCCTTCCTTTACCTATTCAGAGGCTTGTATCGCTCACTCTGTGTAATGAGCACGTCTGTTATTGAACGCCGGTTTCTGCTCTGCTGTGGACCTGGTCACCTTGTCAATGAACGTGAATGTGGGCAGTAGAACTAATCAGAATACTGGGAAATGATAATGTGTTTGAATCACCATGTGATGAAATTGGGAAGGTCATCTTTCTCTCCTGTTCCTCCTCTTCCTTCTTCCCTCCCTACTTTTTCTTTCCTTTTTTTTTTTTTTTTTGGCAAATAAAGCAAAAAACCCAGATGCAACTCATAAAGACATCCGAAAATTTGCTGTCTGTCCATTCACCCAACCAGCCACCAATCCATCCAAATATGAGATCTTCCTGCAACTCACAAAGATCCTCTTCTGCCTGTGACATACTATCTGCCAGTTAATAAAATTCTGCTGCCTGTAAAAGCCCGTGTTGAGGTACTGAACCATTCTACTTCCTTGCTATACAGTCCATAAGGGGTTGGGGTGGGGCGTATAGCCATCATTATGTCTGATGGAAATGAAGCCTCTGGAACCTGTAGGTCCTTGGGGGTGGATGTTTCCTTTGGGAAAAGGCACAATGGGTGTCAACATCTGGGTTTGTGTTGCCAACGTTTAATGGGGAGCTGGCTGCTTGATGGCGGGAACTTGGAAAAGCACTATCAGGAGAATTGAAAGTTTGGTATTTCCCTCTTGGGATCATTTTCTGGAATGTTTATTTTTATAACCAGATTTTGGTTGACCTTGTGTAGCTTTTTCTCCTGTCTCTTTGTATGTTTGTTTCTTTGCCCAGTGAACATGGATCTCTTAGTCTGTTGGTAAAATTCAGCTCAGAAGTTTATTTCTTTACTAGCCTTAAGTCTCAACACTGTTGATAATCATAGAGCTAACTGCTCTTTACAACAGGGATTTTAATCTTGAGTAGCTATCACACAGCGAGCACTCCTTGTGTTCTCAGACACTGGGCTGGAAGTACTTTATCTCTCTTAATCCTTACAATGACTCTGCTAGGGCAGGAACCCATTCAATAGGTGAAGAAACAGAGACGCCCAGAGATGTTAAGTGAGTTGCCAAAGGTCACATTAAATGGCAGGGTCTGGACTCATCCAGGTCCATAGGAGGCCAAAGCCCTTGATCTTAATCACTCTCATCACTCTGGCCTTTAAAAAGTGCAGTTGAAGAGTTGGGGAAATTCTCATTATGGCATAAGGATGAAATGTCTCAAATAGGGGTTAAGTGTTAAAGAGAAGATAGATACCCTTCTCCTTTCTTACTAACTAAAAATATACTTTCTGGCACTTTCAGAGAACTTAACCCCCAGTCCTACTACCTTTCCCATCCCCAGATTCATAAATTTTTAAAAACTCAATCTCAAACAGTGATGTTCTGGAGTTGGCCTATACTGGCTCACAAGAGCTGAACTTGTGCCTCTCCTCCCAATTCAATGACATCATGTTGCTAACTAAGCCTGGAGTCAGCCACAGAATGACCGTTCCCACCATGGATATTGGTGTACCTATAAACCATGGCTTCTCCTGCTTGGAGAACTGGTGATTAAACATTTACCTACATACAACTGACCCCAAACTAAAATCACCATTGGGAGCAAGTGGTTCACTAGAAAAAACAAACCCCAACAAGTACTGTGACTTCCTTTGGGAATCTTTCCTGGGTTGCATGTTCCTGTCAGGTCTGGCTGGGGTTCTGGGTCGGGTTCTGCCCTGAGAATTCATAGTAGAACCTGCATTGCTCTCAATATGACCATTGTCTTTCTTACTGCAGGTAACGATTTTTTGGTCACAGCCTGGGCACTTTTCTAAAACCAGTCAAAGGAAATGAAGATGCTCCTTTCTGTCTTCTCAATCCAAATTCTACATTAGGTTCTTGCCTCACTTTGGGAGAATGGGTGCTCAAATATCAGAAGCAAAATGTTGCTGCTGCTAGCTTGTTTGGGGAGATGAAATGCTATTAGGGGTCCATTGGCTGAGGGCCCTTTTTCTTAGAATCTAAGCAATCAACTGTGAAAAAAATTAGAAGTTGCTCTGACCTGGAAATTTGATTTCTCAGAATCTAGCCAACAGAATTATTCCCAACTGGGCTTAAAATGTATGCACAAGGACACTCTGTGCAGTGTTCTTTGAAATGCAAGAATGTGAGAGCCATCAATAGAGATGGTTATCTAAATTTTGGTCCTTCCCTACCATGCACTACAAGTATTCTCTGAAAAGAATGTGGAAACTGTTTAAAAAATGTGAAAACTTTGTATATACCATCAGGGGGAAGTCACAGAGAGAACAGTGTGTAATATGATCCCATTTCTATAAAAATTTGCATATCTATATATTATAAGGGGAAGACATTAGAAGAACTCACCTCAGACTTTCAGAAGGAATTTCCTCTAGGAAGGAGAATGAATTGGGGGTGGGGGGTCGGTGGGAATAAAGGCTTTTATATTTTATATAGTTCTGAATTTTGGGAAAAATTTTTAGTAAGAATAAATTATATTCATGTATTACTTGAGTAGTTTTGTTTTTTAAAGAAACATTGTGGGAATTGTTTTGAGGCTGTGGTTTTCAGACAAATTCTCTGAGTCACAAAGATGCAATATTTTTGAAACAATTAGGTGCCCTCGTGGGAGTGGGAGGGGTCCCAGGTCTCCCAGACCCAATAGCCTCCTGTTCCATGGAGAAGCTGCATTTTGAAAAATTTATTTTACATTATTGGGGTTTCCATTTCTTTTTTAAAAAGGATTTCTGCTGGGGTTTTTTTTTTTGTTTGTTTGTTTTTTAAATAAAGGTTGTAAACACACTGCATCAAAGGAAACGACAGTTTTAAATTTATCCCAACCAAGAACATGAAATCAATTGGAGTCACTTGTTCATCAATAGTATTTCTGGTTGCATCTGAGGTTAGTTTATCTGGACTCTGGTGCAAGAGACATTAGGGTGTGGGGTGGGGTGAGGATTTGGGAGACTGGTTGTGTATGGGAAGGGGTTAATTGAGATTCCAGATGTTGGAGGAGATCGAAGACTGAATCAGCCTTTAAGGCAGGGCTATGAGAAACACAAAAGTCAGGGTGGAAGTAGGGAGTTCCCACTCCTGGGGAAACTATTTTATTTAACTCAGCCTGGAATCTTCACACAGCAAATCCAATTCCTCAGATCGGGGTTTCTGACCTAGTTTGCTCCATTCTTGCAGGCCACTGACTTCTTAGAGAACCGGTGTCTTCCCGCCTGCCTGTGTTTTGTTCTGCCCGTGTGTGCAGTACAGTTCCTGCAGCTTCACCTTGGGGCTTTTGCAGGAGCCCTCCCCCTGGTGGGGACACACCTGACGCTTTTCTTGGCCTAGACAACAACGTTCTGGAGCTTGTGCCTTGGCACACCCAGCTGCTGCAGGGACCAAGACACTGACTATTCCCTGGGGTCCAAGTGGAGGAACAGCCATATGTACACACACACACACACACACACACACACACACACACGATATTGAATGTAAATATAAATATATCCAAAAGACCTTTAGAGAAAGGGGAAAAATAAGAACAAAGAAAGGAAAGAGTAAAAGGGAGGAAAGAGGAGGAAAAGAAGGAAGAGCAAATAAAATATATTGTTGGGGAGACGTGATCTAAGAGGAGAAGCGGAGAGCAGTCTGGCTCTGCATCCAGTCGTGTGCTGGTGTAGCTGGCCAATTTCTGTGGTGTAAACACTCCCGCTGGGCTCATTGATTTTAAGCTCCCAATGTGACAGCACCAAACGTGGAGTAAGTAAGAGGTGCTGGGAGGAGATGCACACAGTTGGCTCCCACAACCGTATGCCCTGGGGCTGCAGCTTGCCACTCCTCCCCCTTTTGGATCTCCCAGAGCACACAGGCGAACTCTTAAAGCTTTAACCCACCGACCAAAAACTGCAAAGGCAGGAGAAGAACAAATAGGCATTTCCTCCTCCACTGCCCAGTTTACTGCTGGTTAGAGCAAGTGGAAGGGCTGAGACATACTTTGGATTCCAGCAGGTGATCAAGGGCTTCATGGTGTGGTGGGTGTGGTCGATAGTCAGGGCCTCCAGAAGCCAGTGGAGGGCACAGAGCTGGCGGAAGAGAGGTTCCCTGAAAAGACAGAGAGAGGGAGCACAGTGGGTCCTGTTGGAGTGACGTCCTTCACAATTATGGCAACAGAGACAGAAGCTGTACCGGCTCCCAGTTAGCGATGCTGCCCTGCCTCAGGTGTGCACATTTCCCATGCATCAGCGCATTAAACCTTTGCAAGGGTACCCGTTTTACAGGTGAGGGGCTTGAGGCTCAGAGAGGTAAGTGAGTTGACCTGGAGGAATAGTGAGGATTTGAACACGAGTTCGTTTAACCCCAGATACTGTGCTTTCCTGGGCCTGAGCTCTGATTGGTCGAGGTACTGACAAAGCCAATGCAGTGGTCACCAGACTGTGAGGTCAGGAGAGGGTTAACCTGCTGCACTTTTTCCTGGAAATGAGGTGGAGTCCTCACCAACCCCTCACTCCCCCATAGGATTTCTCCTCTTACACTAATGGGCACAATGCCTCCATTATTAACCTGTATAATTGCTCTTCTCTGAAACTGCGTCCAGTCTTGATCAATACTCCCCAGGGCCCCTGGGCCTGATGCTCAGAGGGGCAGGGAGGAATCCACCCTCCCTGCTTCTAGGAAGGCACCACCTCAGAAGCTGAAGCCCAAACCCTGGAGCTCAAGTATGGAGCTGACCAGAGCTGTCCTTCAAACCTCTTGGAGAAGAGTTTATTTCACTGAGATTGAGGGGGAGCTGCCCCCGTGCATGCATAGCCCTGTCCCCAGGTACTGGGGTGGCCGTACCCACCAGGTCTCAGGAGGAAAACCAGAGTCAGCCGTGCTTTTTTCTCCTCTGGGGCCCTCTTGTTCCCCCGTTCCTTCCTTCCACAAATGACAGGCATACTTTGGTACTCGTTGACTTCAGAACCCGTCAAACCCTGTACTCATCACATTTTGGCAAGAAAAAAATGTTTCAGCGCTCGGCGCTTGCTCGGTACTCATCACACTTGCCAGAACGTGTATGAATCACAACACTATCCCCTAAGAGAAATGCTTCGTTACTCGTCGCTTGCTTGGTACTCACCTGGTTTCGGTATTCATCATGAGTTCTGGAACAAATTAATGATGAGTACCAAGGTACCACTGTATTTAGTGCACACCTACTATTCCCTTACTTTTTATTTAAAGGACCTGCAAGCCCCACAGCCTTTCTTATTTTTGTCTCTTCCCCCTTAACACCACCTTGGCCCCTACAGGTAACCACCTGTTGGCAGCTCTGGGTGCTGGGCCATGGCCAGCATTTCACCAAGAGCAGCAGCTAGCTGTGTCGTGTGCCTGGCCCTGTGCCCGACACTGCACATCACCCTCACAATATCCCCAGGAAGTTGTGAAAGGCCCTTGGAGATCCCCCCGCCTCTGTTTACAACTTAGAGCCCCTGCAGCCCTGAGCCTTGGGTTCTGTGAGGTGGGTACGGGGGAGGAAGGGTGAGTACAGGGGGATTTACAGCTCATGTGGGGTCTGCTTGGTCACAGGGGGATGTGGGTGTGTGAGCATCAGATTTACTTCTGCAGGTAACAAGAACGAGCGCAAACCTGGCACTATTCCTCCCTCTTCGATCCAGGGTATAACAGATAAGAATGCTGACCAGGGTGGACTCAGTCTGCTTCCAAAACCCCTGTGTGCAGAGCTCTGGGCGAGCGCCCAGTGGTCGGCATCCTTGAGTAGCCCACTCTTTTGAAACCGCCATGCCAACTGGAATACGGTGGGTGAGCATAAACGTCTCCAAAAAGAAAACAGTGTTTTCTTTCTATTTACTAAGGGAAATCAGAAAATGCATACAAAGGCCTTCCAGGCACCCCAGGCTGCCTGCTAAGGGCAAACCTGCAGGCAGGCTGCGAGGAAGAGGCCAGTCATTTCAGAGAGGACAGGAGGGGAGGTTTCTCATTCTTAGAAACCACTCCCTCTCCCCCCTTTAAAGATAAATGTCAGGTCTCCCTTGACATGAGTGAAATGACCCCCACAAAGTCAATTCAGAATTATCAGCTGGTTTGGGAATCAGTTGCATCAGGATTGAAGGGACTGACCATCTCAGTCCGCAATGGCTGACGTGATGACTGAGAATTTGAGAATTGACCGGGCACACCCTGTTGTTTGGTAGACTGGTTACAAAATGCCCCGATACTTCACCTTGCCCTGCATCCACATGCTTTGCAGTGTGACTTTGCATCTCCCCCTTCAAGTGATGGAGTCTTTTTCCCTATTCCTTGTGTCTGGACTGGAGTGATGTCTTGCTTTGGCCATTGGAAGGTGGTGGGAGTGTCACTGTGTCCATTCCAGAGCCTAAGTTTCAAGAGACTAGATGCTTAACCTCTTGTTCTGGGAACCTTCATGTCCACCGTGTGACTAGCCCAAGCTGGGATCGTGAGAGACGAGTGGCTCAGTCTCTCCTGTCACCCTAGCCAACAACTCATCACCAACACCCTGTGAATGGGCCCATGCTTGATGGGCCAACCTCCAGCTCACCTGTCAGCTGCATGCACACACATACACAAGCCTAGCCAGGATCAGGCCAGCCGGCCTGGACCAGCAGACCCACCCAGCTAACCTGAGAGCAGTAACAAGTGGTTGCTGTTTTAAGCCACCCCATTTTGAGGGGTCTGTAACACAGCAGTAGATTACGGATACAGTCACCAAATGCAGCAGAGCCTTTTAACAGCCAAGGAGAAAAATGTGCAGCCTTAGATCCAGGGCAGGAGTTGGCAAATTAGTGGCAGTGGGTCTCCTGCCTGTGTTGGCAAATAAAACATTTTTAGAACATGACCACCTCCATTCATCGTAGCTTCCATGCTTCCATGGCAAAGTTAAGTAGTTGCAAGGGAGACCGACCATCTGATCTGCAAAGGCTAAAATATTTACTGTCTGTCCCTTTAAGAAAAAGGTTGCTGATCCCTGGTCTGGGGCATAACAGATTAATAATAATAGTAGTAGCCTCTCCAGCAAACCTGATACAAAGACCTGACCTAGGATCTAGATCAGGATTCCTGTTGGAAGGATTTTGGCAGGTTCTGTGCCCTCTCTGGGCTTCAGTTTCTCCATCTGGTATTGAAGGAAGGTGAGCAAGAAACTCTCCAGTTACTTCCACAATTGATTTGAGTCTCAGTTTGCTCAGATTAAATGAATCAAGGGTAGGGCACACGAATATACATTTTCCTGAGCTTTCCACCTCCACCCCCCCTAACCCTTACCCCACATCCCCAGGTGACTGGGATGCAGGTGAAAGCAGAAGAACCAATGATCTACACCATTTGGTTTCAGAGACAGGTAGATGTGCAAGTTCTTCCAAGAGATACTAGTAGAAATTGCAAGGCCAATTGATGTTTTAAGAACATCAAGCTTTGGCCGCCAGTTGGAATGTTCTTGAACACATAAGTCTGTCAATCATAATATTCATCAGAGGGAGGTAGGAGGAAAGTGGAGAGCGAGGCGTCAAAAGCTGGAATATTAGGGAGGGATGGGCATGTGTCCAAATACATGGTGGTGGTGGTGGTGATGGGGGTGGTGGTGAGGGTGGTGGGGATGGGGGTGGTGGGGGTGGTGGGGGTGATGGGGGTGGTGGGGGTGATGGGGGTGGTGGTGGGGGTGGTGGGGGTGGTGGGGGTGATGGGGGTGGTGGTGAGGGTGGTGGGGGTGATGGGGGTGGTGGGGGTGATGGGGGTGGTGGTGGGGGTGGTGGGGGTGGTGGGGGTGATGGGGGTGGTGGTGAGGGTGGTGGGGGTGATGGGGGTGGTGGTGAGGGTGGTGGGGGTGATGGGGGTGGTGGGGGTGATGGGGGTGGTGGTGGGGGTGGTGGGGGTGGTGGGGGTGATGGGGGTGGTGGGGGTGGTGGGGGTGGTGGTGGGGGTGGTGGGGGTGGTGGGGGTGATGGGGGTGGTGGTGAGGGTGGTGGGGGTGGTGGGGGTGGTGGTGAGGGTGGTGGGGGTGATGGGGGTGGTGGTGGTGGTGGTGGGGGTGATGGGGGTGGTGGTGGTGGTGGTGGGGGTGATGGGGGTGGTGGGGGTGATGGGGGTGGTGGTGGTGGTGGGGGTGGTGGGGGTGGTGGGGGTGATGGGGGTGGTGGTGAGGGTGGTGGGGGTGATGGGGGTGGTGTGGGTGGTGGGGGTGGTGGGGGTTACTGGGGTGATGATGTTGTAATCTTCCAGCCAGGAACTAAGTGTCCTTATTAATGATCTTCTTTTCTCTGCCATCTTGTCCTCTGATTTCACTTTTGCATCATTTTACTCTTCAAGTACACATATCATGAGCCCCGCAAAGGCCTTGGGATATACGTTTTGTGTAGTGTGTGCTGGTGAGAGCTCAGGCCCTGAAGTCAGCCAGACTTGCCTTAAAACCTCAGCACAGCAACAAACTAAGTGACCTTGGGCAGGCCACTACCCTCTAACCCTCTCTGAGCTTCTGCTTTCTCATCTGCAGAGCAGGGATAACAATACCCTTACACGAGAGGACTGCCTGAGATAAAGCTACAGAGCACTCAGTGTGCCATTATTACTGTGCATACCGTAGAGGCCTCATAATTTTTGACAAATGAGTGGACAGTGGACAGAGAAGTCTAGGATTCATTGCGCCATGTTTATTGCCTTAAAAGTAGTTCTCAGCATGAGGATTGTGGGGTGGGTATGATTTTGCCCCCAGGGGACATTTGTCAGTGTCTGACGTGGGGGTGGTGCTATTGGCATCTTGTGGGTAGAGGCCCTGGATGCTGCCAAATACCCTACTGTACCCAGGACCATCCTTCACAACAAAGAATTACTTGTCCTGATATATCAGTTGTGCCAAGGCTAAGAAACCCTGCCCTAAAGTCAAAAGCGCTTATCTCTGTGCCTGAAATCTTTCCATTGAAAAGTGCTAACTAGAGATAAAGAAAAGGTTGGCCTTGAAATTCTTTGGCATAGACTCAAGGGGAACGAGATGTCAAGGTTTTAGAAAGCTGGAGTGTTCTCTGGAGCGTTGATTAGCCCGGTACACGGTGCAATGATAAGTTCATGCCTCGGGTCGCAGAAGACAGGGCTTCTCTGGGAAGGAGCTTCATGAGTCTTGGGGAAATCCTGTCCCCTGAGCCATGGCCGAGACGTTGTCACACACCCTCCATGAGGGCTGTAGACAGATTTTATCAGGCTTTGCAAACTATTTGACATTTAGTGTGTCTGGCTTGGTAAGGAATGGAATGACTCGGTCCCAGCTGATTTGCCACTTAGCTGTAAACCACCGTGTCTGCTTTCTGTTATTTTTATGTGCCAAATAGTATTGTCAGCTCCAGGCTCCATGTCCCTTTCAAGAGGACAAAGGAAAAACTCAACAGCTCCCGAAGATGCGTTAGCTGGTTGAGTCTTTTCACTGTGGCTTCGCTTGAGAAGCTAGCAAGGCAGCAGAGCCAGGGGCGGGACTGTACTTACACGTGAGCCTCAGGTAGCAAGGGCGAAATGATGCAGCTGTGCTTGGGGGTGAACGGACGAAGTATGACGCCAGCCCCCATCTTCTTAATCTTCTCATCATTGTATGTGCTGAAGGGAGGGCAGAAGGAGAGAGACAGAACAGTGAGCAGCAGTTTTAAACACCTCTCATCAGGGGTTATTTGGCAAATATTGGGCACCAACTGTATATGCCAGGCAATAATTATCCCTTGAAAGATGAAGGTTCTAGGTACAGCCAGTGAACGGAGCATATAAAAACCTCTGCTCTCTGCCCTGGCCAGGTAGCTCAGTTGGTTAGAGCATCGTCCTGATATACCAGGGTTGCAGGTTTGATCCCCAGTCAGAGAACATACAAGAATCAACCAATAAATGCATAAATAAGTGAAACAACAACAACAAACCTCTTCTCTCACAGAGTGTGTACTGTAGTGGAAGAGCAAAGATAATAAACAGGATAAATAGGTAAATTGTGTACTGATATATGGTTGGATATATTTTCTTAAAGGGCCAGACACATCTTTGTGACTTTGTAGAACATAGGGTATGTGTCACAACTACTTAGTAGCATGAAAGAAGCCATTGACTGTATGTAAACAACAAGTAATGGCAGTGTTCTAATAAAACTTTATTTATAAAATCAACCTGGGGGCTGGATTGGGCCACCATGGCCTCCCGCCCCCATACTAGATAATGATAAATGCCGTGGGGAGAGAAAAGCAGATAAGGGGGTTTGGAAGGACTGGGAACACTGGGAGTTGCAATTTTAAGTAGCATGATTGGGAAGGTGTCACCGAGAAGGTGACATTGGATAAAACTCTGCAGAGTGTAAAGGAGTGAGCCATTCAGATGTCGGAGGCAGAACATTCTGGACAGAGGGAACAACATGTGCAAATGTCCTGAGGTGCAGCTGTGCTGTAGGGACAGAAAGGAAGCCAATGTGGCTGTCGCTGGAGTGGAGTGAACAATAGAGAGGGAAGGGAGAGGAGGGTGGAGAGAGAGCAGGGGTCTTGGGGACCATTGCAAGGACGTTGGACTTTTCTCTGAATGAGTGTAAAGGATTTTGGGCCAAGACAATACATCATCTGATTTGCATCTGAGAAGGATCCCTTTGGCTTCCATTTTGAGAATGGCCTATGGTAGGGACACAGAAGGCTAAGTGGGGGCACATATTAGGGATTTATCTTCCTCCTGGGAATTGGAGGGCGGTCCTGGGGTCACAGAGGTAACTGAGAGATGGGGCCAGAATCTAGGTCGTCTGATTTTCATTTTCAACCCTAGGGCTGAGGAAGTTTTAAGCAAATACCTTGGCAGTGCCCAATCTTTATTTTAATGTTAATTTCTTTCAATGATATTTTGTAGTTTTCAGTGTACAAGTCCTGTACTTTTTAAACTGAATTCATTGGGGTGACATTGGTTAATAAAATTATATAGGTTTCAGGTGTACAATTCTATAATGCATCATCTGCATATTGGATTGTGTATTCACCACCCAACGTCTCTCTTCATCACAATTCCCACGCTCCCCCACCCCCTGGCAGTGCCCGGTCTTACTGGCTCAACTCTTACCCCCAGTGGTTTAGAATATGTAGAATTAACCCAGCTTCTGCACTCCTTAATCTCTGGTTTTATGTCTTCCCTCAACCTCCATAATAAGACAAATTCTACCCTTTGTTTTTCTCACCTTTTCAGCTAAATTTACAGCTGAAAAACGAGGTCATTGAGCACAGTGGGAAAGGCTGCTCGCAGGCAGAAATCTTTGGGGATATGCTTGATTTTCTTTTTTCCTTGCATAGTCTGTCAGACTTAAAACTTCTGTCTAAAAGAATTTATCCTATGGTCTTAGATCCAGAGGGTAGAAAAATAATCCCTTCTGCTTTCATAATGCACAAGATCAAATACCTTGTTTTAAAAAGTATTCAAAAACGAACACTTGTATTTTTGATACTTCTGTGATTGGAATGATAGAAGCACAGCTCTTAGAGGTGAGATGCTTTCAAGCATGCCTGAAAATTAAGATTTTTAGCCATAAATCTGAGGATTTTAGGTCATTGAGGCCCAGAGAGATCAAATTCTCTTTACTGCATAATAGCAGCTAACAGTCACTGAGGACTCTCATTTGCCAGGCTCTGTGCTAAGCATTACTTCATTTAATCCTCCCAATAAACCTGGGAGTTTGGTATCCGTCATAAGGGCGAAGAAAAAGGAGGTTCACAGAGCGACAGTGACTAGCCCAAAATTAGACAGTTGTATGGGGGAAGTCAGGACTTGAACCCAGTGCTGCGCTGTATCGGTCAGGGTAATCTAGCAGTGCTATTTTATAACCCCTGCCACACAACCTGCATTTGATGGCTACATCACAGTAATTGCCTCCAGTTATATTTAAATAACCAGCCTTGTACAGCTCATAGAATTCACCAGATAAGACATAACCAGACCAATGTCTACAAGAGGAGCGACCTCATGCATATTTAAACTTATTAAATTTTAAATAAACCATGTCTCTCACACCGAGACATGGATCTGGAGAGGGGAGACTTGTGTTGTGTGACCACAGATTAAAAGCCCCATCCAAAGGAGGGAGTCGTTACAATGAACCATTTAAGCAGTCATGGGGGTCGTTAACGGATGCGTGTCCCGCCCCACCCCCGCAACGCCCATTCCCTTCATTCCCTTGCTCATTAACTGAGCGCAGCTCCTGCAAAAAAAAAAAAAAAAAAAAAAAAAAAAGAGCTGAGTTCACTCCTCCCCTTTGTTCCAGAATACCATGTCCAGGCAGCATTCCCAGAATTGGTCTGGGAGGTGCCCTGGGCATTGGGGTTTTAAAAACTCCCCAGGTGATTCTGATGTGTATGAGACCACTGCCCTAACAGAACGGTAGCCACAGCGGCAGCCGCCGCTACCACATATCTCCTCTGTCCCTGCCTCAGCGCCACCTTTCTCCCCAGTTTGTGCCTTGTCGAGTTTGCCTGAGCTATGGATCCCAGGATTTTGTCCATGCTGAAGGGTGCAGTCCATGGATTCTGGTGTCACTCAGTTAGGGACTCGGGGATGCTTTTAACTTATGGCCACCGGAGTCCTAAGGGGAATTGTGTGAGCATCTCTAAGCCTTATACCTTATCTCTAAAATGGGTCTAATAATAGCACCTTTATCATGGGAATGTTTTAAAATTTAGACAGAAAGATGTGAATAAAGCATATAGCAGACATAATTATTGCTTAGTTGTTATTATTGCTGCTATTATTATTATTATTACCATTTCATAATGAGTTAGTCTGATGATGGTCCTCTCTCAACCAGAGGGAAAACCTTTGCCAAAAAAAGGGGGACTAGTTTATTAAATAAACCAACAAACATTTTTTGTCCACTGCAGGACATTGAGCTTGGATCCAGGGTTTCAGGCGAAGGTCTAGAATATTGACACGGATTAAGGTGAACTAGCATACACACATGTTATAGGAACCCAGAGTCCAAATGGGTTCTGGGGAGTGTTTGGGCTGAAATCAAGGAAAACAGGAGAGGGCAGCATTTAAGCTGGGCTTTTAATGATAAGTAGAACTTTAGTTGGAAGAGGATGTAGGGAAGAGCATTTTAGGCCCAAGGCACAGCATGGGAAAAGGCCTAGTGGTAGGGACAAGCCTGGGAAGGAGAGGGAAGGAGGCACATTTAGGGAACAGCAAGATTTCCCGTGGAGCTCTTGGCATTGGATAATGAGGGCAGACACATGTGGTAGAACATACTCCACTGAATGCCAGCAGGCGAGGCTGACGAGGTAGGCTGGACCAAAGCGGAGTCATCAGACACCAGCCTGAGACGGGGCTCCCAGTGTGAGGCAGCTGCCATCCCTCAGCCCAGCCAGGCGGCGTCTGCTGCCCAAGGTCCTCCCTCTACTTACGCCAAAAGAGTATCCCCATAATGGAACTCTGAGATCCTTTTGGCTGGTTGGAATTTATGCCTTTCTTCCTCTTTCTGTTTCTGAAGTTGCTGCTGCCTCTTCTTCCATGCACTCTCCTCCTGCAGCATGGTAAAATATCCGCGGCCTATCTTCACGGACTGAATCAGGAAGCTAGACAGAGACGGAGGCGGAGAGATGAGCTGACTGTTGAGAAAGACAGTGTCTTACTCATTCCTTGGCTTATGGCACCAGCCTCCAACCCTGGCCTCCATGTTCACAGGGCCTTTTCCTTTGAGTCTGGCAAGCCTCCTGCTCCTTTCCCTAAGTACCCAGCCACTGGGCTGAAGACTTGACCCGAAAGCAGGAAGATCTCATCCTGAAGTTAATTACACCTGTAACAACCCTATTTCTGAGTTAGTTTAGATACACAGGTAGGGAGTTAGGACTTAGACATATATTTTTGAGGTAAATAGTTTAGCTCACTACACCCTTGGAGGATTAAATTTGAACTGATAGCTTTGCTTAACTATTATCATTCCTTACCCTCACATGGGATTATCCACAAGGAATATCATCTGCCTCTTTTAACTATCTATTTAACTATATAGTGGTTTTTTGCTATTATATATACCAATTATAGCATAGTTCTAAGTGCATATTAGTTATGACATCTTATTAATATTACTATATTTCAATTTACGATGGCTCCAGTTACCCATGTCATACACAGTGTATAAGTGAAAATCATTATATACTGTACGTATAACATAGTTTATTTTTGTGAGAGTGAAAGCAATTAAATGAATAGAATTTTTCTTTCCTTGATCAAAAAACATTACTGAACATTTATTCAAATAAATTTGCTACCTCAAGAAAAAAAATGACACTCTCTAAAAGTCTCAGGGCTGGTCATTGCTGAGGGCATGCTTGCGCCTGGGGGCAGAAGCCCTTCCCCCTTGAAAATGCCAGAGTCAGATCTGGCCTTGAATTCTGGATCCACAAATGACTTAACCTCCCCAGGTTTCAGTTCCTTCATTACTCCACCACTCAGCAAGTGTTTATTGAGTGCCTACTATGTGCCAGGCATCTGCTAGTTGCTGTGAAATGAGCATAACAATTCACACACCACAGGATTAGCTACCTTTGTGCACAGAAAGCGGTCAGCAAGGTGCCTGGTGTGGGAGGGGGGCTCATCCCTGGTCGTGAGTAGCAAGCAGGTCAGGTGCTACCTGGCCTGGGCTCAGGGCCAAGGATGCCTTCTCTTAGGTTCTCCTGAATGCTCTGTTTTGCTTTCAAGCTTCTGAAGCCACTAATCATCAAAGAGTGTCCTGAGGTTGCAGGGTAAACCTGATGGAAAGAAAACTGTTCCCATTTGCAACCCCTTAATTTCACAAATGAGGATTCTTGACATAGCACAAACAGTGCAAATGCTGTGCTCGCCTGGGAGCTGGGGCTGTTATTGCAGCCGCATTGTTAGTTCATAGAGGCCCTTTGCTCAAAATCTGGTTCAGAGGTTGAGACTGACACTGCATGGACCCGAAGGGTGTGAAGCGCATGTAGTGAGGCTTTCTGGGTGGAGCCGGGAGGCTCCCAGGCAGTTCTGAAAGCAGCTTGAAAGAGCAGGGATGGGTGACTGGCTGAGGGTTGCAGGAGGCGGGCCTGGGGTGAGGGGTGCCTTGTTTGCCATCTGATCTCCCCGCCAAACACCAAGGGAAGGAGCAGCCGGGCTTTCTCACCAGCTTGCCCAGATGCGGGGCAGGATGGAACGAGGAGGTTGGGGGGCGGGGCTTGCATGCTGCCAAGTCATGTAAAAAACAGAGCCAGACTCTTTTTTTTAATTAAAAAAATGTTGTTCAGTTGCTGTTTATATTCAATATAATTTTGTATTAGTTTCAGGTATACATCACAGTGGTTAGACAGTTTTATACTTTACAAAGCGTTCCCCCTATGTTTTCAGTACCCACCTGGCACCATACAGTTATTACAAGACTCTCACACCTAATTTCAAATTCGTGTGTTTGCCTGAATAGCTGCCTCCCTATCAAACCTTCAGTAAAAATTTACAATACCTACTGTGTGCTAGGTGACGTTGCTGCTCTGGGCACCTGCTAACCCACCCGAACTTTGTTCTGGGGTGCTACTCTGTGAGGCAGTAGATTTTACCATTTTAATGAAGAAGCGCATCCCAATACCTCAGTCTAACATCCTCACGCTCGCAACAGAGCTGTGGAGGTCCCTCTCTGCCATCGGACTCCCGTGACACCTCTCAGGTGACTCCAGCGTGCTCTGGAGATGCACTTCTTCACGTGTCATCCCCAGAAGAGACTTTAATTGCAAGCGTGGCCATGCCATGATTTCGCATCTGTTGTCGAACTTGGCCCTGCCCGCCTGTGCTTCTGTGCTGCGCCCCCCCCCCCCCACTTCTGGGTGCATGAACTAACTTATTTATTCTCACAACAAACCTAAGTTGTCGGTACCGTTGTTAGCGTTTCATTTGCTGATGAGGACACGAGGCCCAGGAAGGTGACAAGGGCAGAGCGGGGGTCTGAGCCCAGGTAGCAGATCCATCGTGAAGCTGAGCGTACACGGGGCTGGTCTGCCGACCGTCAGGGTGTTTCTGAGTGTGGCCGGTCAGCCTTTCTGCTGGGGAGCCTTCCCAGCCTGTCGTCCTGGGAATCCCTTTCATTGACTTTGGAGAGCCTGTGGGTCACTAGGTCCTTGGATAACTTGGTGTCTTGTTATTGACAGACAGGTGTCTGGGCTCCCCTTTTGCTGTGAAGCCTTCCTTGCTGTCATTTAGATTCTGTCACGGAGTGACAGGGTGTCAGGGAGACATGCTGGGTCTGGTTTCAGAGTGAATCTGGGCAAAAGCCTCCATTTTCCCCTGCAGAACTTGTACGGCAGTTAGTTCTTGAAATGTACATGTTATAGATTGAATTGTGTCCTCCCAAAATACATAGGTTGAAGTCTTAACCTGCAGTGTTAGAATGTGACCTTATTTGGAAATAGGTCATTGCAGACATAACTAGTGAAGATGAGGTCATTTGAGTAGGGTTGACCCCTAATTCAGTGTGACGGGTGTCTTTATGAAAAGGGAGAAATTTGGACACAGACATGCATGCAAAAGGAATGCCACCTGGGAGGAGGTGTGAGGCTTCCGCAGGCCAAGGACTGCCAGAGGCCGCTGTCAAACCGCCAGCGGCTAGCGGGGAGGCATGGAACAACTTCTCTCTCAAGTGGCCCTCGATCTGGGGCTTCTAGCATCCAAGAGTGTGAGTCAATAAACTTTTGTTTTTTAAGCCACCTGATGGGCAGTACTTTGTTTTAGCAGCCATAGGACAAGGACGTAGCATGATCAAATCTTTAGGCCTCCAGTCATGGAACAGCCTAACTCATTGTATTTTCTTTGATGTTAACAACATCCTTATTAATTTCATAATAAGTGACAGGCTGGTGGTCCATGTCACAGTAAATCAAAGGGGCTTGAATATTATGTTCCAGGTTCTGGGCTGGATACTTGTTACGTGTCAGATTCTGTGTTAGGCACTTACTATGTTTCAAGTTCTGTTTAAGGCACTGGCATTGTGGAGGTGAACATGTCCTCCAAGAATTCACAGTCTTCACCTCTGTATATCAGCTTTCTATTTTTTGCATTAATTAGGAGGTTGGTAAGAGGTTTCTTTACTTGACTTATTTGTGCCCTTATTCCAAAAAAATATTAGAGGCAGGAAAACCAAGAAAACAAAATCAGGTAAGACAAGTCTCCAAACCCAAGCTACATGACCTAGTGCACACATGTGACCTGGAGCATCTTAGTGGCCAATGCAGAAAGGGAAACACAATCCAAATGACCATAAGATTTTTTTTAAAAAGCTCTTCAGATGATGCCTCACTTTTCCTGGTGCTGAAACTAGGAAGAGATGTCTTTCAAGGATCTGTACAGGAGGGACATTGTGAAAAGCCAAATCTGCAACAAGCCCCACGTTGCAAATAGAGTGACAAATGCATCTTGTCAATTAACTCACAGGAAGAGATAGGGAAGTCAGTGTTGGCCAATTTGCAGAAATCTAGCAAGCAAGTTTTCGGATGGAATTGCAGCCCTTCTTCAACCAAGGCGGCCAGACTCCTAGCTGCCAGACCTTCTGGAAAGACCTGGGTGAGAGGTGAACAGAATTGGGGGTGTCTGGGCCCTCATGTCAGACACACCAGTCTATTCTGGGAACTTCAGGCTGCGGGATGTTCATTCAGTGAGCTTGAAATGCTCCCCCGGCACTGCCAAGGCCCATTTAAAAATGCTTAATATTTTAGCAAATTCCCATTTAATTCCCGTGTATGTTCCCTACATTTTCTTCATCATTATTGCTGATTGCCAGGCTATTTGTGTGAGGGGAGCTATTTGCAAGGAAGAGCAGTTTTCGCCTTTAAATCCACTCACGCAGGGCCTCCTGCTCACTGCTTTCTGCGATGTTAAACTCCCCTGGCTAACATCTCAGGAGGAACGGTAGGGAGTAAAATAATTAACTGTGTCAGGCAAGCGGAGGAAGAAGCAGGTTATAAAATGAAAAGTTTCCTCTATCCAATGCAACTTCCTCTTAACCGATGCATGGGGGTGGGTTTTGATTTTTAAGGGACATGCGTTCTCAGAGTGGGAGTCTGTGGGTGAACTGATGAATGAAGATGCTCACAGGGGCCACAGGGACGCTCTCAGCGGGGGCTTGGCCGAGACAGACCAGAGGGACAGAAGTGCAGCAGCCCAGGGTTCCCTTGGAAGCACCTTCAGCTTTGAGGGCAGGCGCATGCAGTGATAAGGCTTGGGGGGTGGGGGCACAGCCTCTGGAGGGGATCTCTCTGCCACCGCTCCCTTCGGCAGGTTTTAAACCTCTCTGAACCACAGCCTCTTCATCTGCAAAAGGGGAGAATAATAGTTTTTGCCTCAAAGGGCTGGGAGGATTAAATGAGATAGATTAAGTTGGTACCTAGTATCAATACATGAGAGTCGGTGATTGGGAACTATTATACTATCAGTTTACTTAATGGCCTGAAAGGTTGGTGTGATTGGCAGAGGAGAAAACAGGGGAAAGGTTAAGTGAATGGTGAGGGTCATACAGCCGGAAAGAGGCAAAGCAGGGACTGGAAGCCAGTGGGGCTGATTTAACAGTTTCTCTCTTGTA